AACTTTATTTCAAATGGATCTTTTATTTTTGGTGTATACATGAAAAATAATCAGTATTTCTTAAGGATTTCAAAAAACAAAAAATATATGGGGTGAACCGAAAGATCTGACAATGTAAATACAAAATACAACCACAATATCGGCCGTATTACAAAAGTTTATAAAAATCGTGCAAGCAGTTTCATACTTAAAACTCACTCTGTATGCAGCCAGTATTTTCTTTAGCTTCTTTTTGTCCATTTAAACTAGGTAGAGGATAAACATATATACCAACTTTTATAAAACTCTAATGGTTTGGAAATAGCTTCCACGCCAGCTGAAACTATAAGGCGATTGTTTAATATTTCATGAGCACATAACCTTCAGTCAAGTTTCCTTACAAATAAAATACGTAAATTAAATATTAATATGGACAAACATACTTTCAGTCATCTAAATTAAGTCCTTAATAACTATCAAAGGTGTATGTGAAGCGGAAATACAACTGGCATAAAACGAACAATATGGATTAGGGAAAGATGAAAACAAAAAAAATACAAAAATTATTCTTGAGCAAACGGTTGAAAGTGACAGTTGACATTTTGAGTTTTCGTTCATAGCGTTCTGTGATACAGTTTGTCTGTCTTCCTTAATTTTAGATTTTTCAGTTTGTTTATTGTTAAATACCTTTTAAATACACATAACATAACCTCGTTTATCTAAAACGTTGACGATTTACGTTAACCGGTTCATTTTAGCGAATAATTTTTTAGAAACCGAGACATGATAGTGGGGGAATTTGACATGTCACGGTTTCTGTGTCACTGTTTATCAACGGAGGCACGCCAAAAAATACTTTAGGAATTCATTATTTTAGAGAGATTAAAAGACTATGATAACAGGAGCAAGATCGTAGCGTGGAATGTTGAAGAATTTATAAAATTTGGTAAAAATGTGGTTTGTTTTTAAACGGATGACGTGGGACACGTCGCCTGTCAACTAAAATTCGCATACTTTTTACAGCTTAGCTTAGATCAGAATCTAACTTTTAATTAGTAAAGTATACCTGTAAAAAAAACTACTAGTACTGCCGGTAGAAGCAGCTTAGATGTGCTTAAAATTTGATGTAGATGTGGCGTAGGAAAAAGAATCTATCAATTATTAACAATGCTCAACATCACCGATCGACTATATCCATTAATTATTGCAGTCGCATCCTCGAATAAGTACTCCAGTCACATGAAACGACGGGACCAAGACAACTTGGATACCGAAAAGCAGCTTTGTATGTGAATAGTTCAAACTTTACTTGCTTCAGATGACCACACAGGTAGACTAGATTACTAATAAGTAGTGATGGGACTTTCATGAAAAGTAATTTTTGGACTAGTCCGACAGACATGTCCGGAAAAGTAATGAAAAGCCACAATGAAATGTAGTCGACCTTGGACATAGAAGACACAATAAAATCTTCATTCTGCACGTTTTTTCAAAAATACTTTAGGAACAATATTTGCATTTGTATATTCGTTTTTTTTTTTAGGAAAATCATTTATAAAATACTTCCAACCTTTGGATTTTTTGGTAACTTTTTCACTTGTTTATCAATAAGATATGAAACGAAAATTCAAATACATATAAAATTTTAAACTATATTTTGCCTCTGTAAGAAATTCAGACAAATTAGTTAATTTTATTTCGCGCCCTTTTGAAAAATGTCTTTGGACTAGTCCGTCGGACTCCAAGCGACCCATTACTACTAATAAGAAATATTGTGCTTGAGGATAAAAAAATAAACAATGGAGATGAAATTAAAATATGTTCTCCATTCCATGGATCGACAGTTATTTGCACAGTCCTCGGCAACACCAGTATCTTACGTTATCAAATTGATAATCACTTGCTAAATGTAAAATTAACAACTTGAGCAGAAATCCCTAAAACAATGTCACTAGCGTATTTAATAGAACTGGCAATTAAATTGTCACAAGTAACTAAAAAATGCCATGTCTTTGAATTTATTTTACCAGATCAAGTTGGGATATAATTGTTGGAAGACTGCAATAACATTGTCAGAAAAACTTTTTATTATCCTGCAAGTTTAAAGAAACAAAACTATATTAGGTATGGGTTAATTTAAAAAGGCGAACGCCAACCTTAATAATATAAATAAAATGCCGACAAAGAATCTTTAAATATCTATTTTGTAGATTTCGGGATACTAATTGAAATAAAAAACATTCCGATGAACAACCTAAAGGTACCATTTCGGTAAGCGCGTCAGGAGACCACCGAGACGACCACCGAGACGACCCCAAGGACGACAGATGCATAAATGTACGCTCCGTATATTTGGGAAGCAAGGAGACGGGTGGCGCGACACCCCAGATAACCATTCGAGGTAACGATCAGCGTTGCCAGACCTACTGTTTTTAAGTAGCTCCAATGTTTTTGCCTCTAACAAATGTTGTTCTTAATTTATCAAGTTTACCTCATTCTTCAGCAAATGGTCAAAGAATATTTTCTCTAGTAATTTTGCTGAAGTAAAAGTAACGTAATAAGCATCCACTACTGTAGGTTGGCTCCATAAAAAAAAAAAAAGATAATCATTATGTTTTTATTTAAAATGAAACAAAGAATTAATAGGGTATCATAAAAATAACAGGCATGCCAAACACAACTATTTTGAATTATCTGATTCAGACTGATCTAAAAGAAGTAGGTACCTATTATTTTTCATTGTTTTTTTTTTTGTTTCCGTACGTTAAGTATATATTAAAAATGTTATTATTTTTCGTTTTTTATATACTTTTTTTTATTTATTTACTACACTGCAAATTATAATTATTTCCCCCTGTATTAAAATCTTATGTTCAGATCTACGTTTTTTTTTTTCACCCATACTGTTTCAGCATCTGGCAACACTGCCTGGATCGAAAGAAATTTCCAACCTAATCACCTCCAAATACAAGGGATGTCTGAGGACAGTGACCTCGAGTGCGACACGCAGCATATGCTTTGCCCAGAGACAGATCCAAAGTGTCGTCTTGACGACACTTCTCGTGTCGCGCCGTGCGAAATGTGTTTCAGACGTAAAGGCAGTTCTCGGTCACGTCTGCTGTCGTCTGTCGCGCCTACCGAAATGTTACCTTGAGAATTAGAAAAAGTGACGTGCCTCTAGCAAAGGCAAAGCAACGGGCACTTATGCTATAATGCCTGATTTTTACTTGGATTTGTACTACTAAATAACTACTTCCTGCTTACTAGGATTTATTAGAGTAGCAAATTAATAAAAGACCTAGATTACATATCCATAGCTTTATCAGAATGATTTTTTACACGCTTATTTGTAACATTTTTATGTCAAACGTTTCTAAAATTAAGATCTTGCAACTGTAGCTTGCATACTACTATAAATCGTAAGATATAGCATTCATGTCCACTCTTGTTGCATAAACTATTCTAGTTTTGTTCAACTGTACTGGAAACATAATTAGGCGTGCTTCTGTTGATAAATAGTTACACAGAAGAGGTGACATATCAAATGACCCCTACTATCATATCTAACAAAATCTTTGCTAAAACGAACTGGTTAAACATCTCAGATTAACAAGGTTTATGGTATGTGAATTGAGGCTGCAGCATGTGAATGGTCGGTCAAGTTGCTTATAATTATATGGTTGACTGCCCTACATTGATTTCAAGCATGCTGTTCGCAGTTCCAACTAGAAGCACAAGATCAATAAAGTTTCTATAAGCCCTACATGAGAACTAATACTGGCCTCAATTCTTTCATGCCTAGAGTTTCACGAAGCGCTAATGCTTGCGCGGATAATCTAAAAATTTTTAATTTAAGCTTTTCTAATTTCGTGAGGGTGTTAAAACTTACTGTGACGTAATTTCCCTAGTCTTAAGTTGTTTCGATTTTGTATATTTATGATTTTTGCTAGTTTATCATTATTATGACATTATTTAGATTGACTCTATTTGTGGTTTTTTTGTTTTTATTTGTAACTTTGTACTGAAAGTGGGCAAGGCCCGTGAATAAATAAATAAACAATTTAGTCAAAACTAGTATAAAGTCCTGCCACCAGGCACATGTTTTTGCCGTAATGACTGTATGATGTTATTCACAGATTGGTGTAACAATTAATAAAATGACCCAGTTGTTTATACATATTTTTGACTAAAAAATAATATAAATATGGGCCATTATGTTAAGTCTTAACAATACTCAACTGACTATTATAACACAACTGACCATTCACTGCATTTTAAACTGCCAGAGTCAGACAAAAATGTTCAGCCGTTCTGACTGACCCTGTCTGATCAGCTGATTAGTAATGACTGATGTTGGTCAGTTTTCTTTTTCAGAAGACTTTGCGGCCAGTCCTACTGCTCACTTAAAGCATCCTGTGAACACAAATTCCAAACTGTGTCAAATTGTTTATTAAAGATTTTTTCTTCAACACTGACCAATATAGTAGTTGTCAATTTTTTTACTTAACCAGCTTTAGTGCAACATTAAATCATTTAAAACTGTTAAATTATTAAAAAGACTAGATTTAAAGGATTATGATAACTGATCATGAATTGATCATTCTTTGGCTATTGAAATATTTAATTTACGTAAGACAGAAGGCAACTGTCATCATAAACCATTTGTTCACCACCTCGAGGGTGTGTTCCAAAACATGCAGTACGTTTGGGGTAAAAAAAATTACTTGACATCTCTCCACTGACAGTTTAAGGTATGGCTTTTGGAATTAATGACTGATTCGCTAATCTAATGAAACCATTTTAAAATATTAAATAGTATTTCTTTAGTAGTTTTTGCTACTTCTAGTGAAATGTTTTTGTAATTTGGCACAAAATGAATAAGTATAAAAAGTAATATTAATTATGAATGCATAATAGACTAAAACAAAAAAAGAATTTCTGCATTGTGAATAAAAAATGTGTCACTGAATCAGTACCTTTTTTAAAATTTAAAATAGTAAATTATTTAAAATGAAACATACCAATTTTCCAACATTTTGTCTGAAGAATTGTCATGTGAATAAACCTGTAAAGTCCAGTAAAAAGTTGTAGGCTTGAGTAAATTAACCAACAACCAAAGTTTTGGAACAAGATTCACAAATCACTGTTAATTTCACTGAGGTTTTTGAAGGACTTAAGTAATAAGTGATTGTGAAACATGCTCAAAGAGGCCAGCTGGGAACAGATTCATCATGACCTTGACAGTAGCAAACAATGACCTCATAACACGCCCCACTTGAAGGATTCAAATTGTAAAAATGTTAAGGCTCCTATATACAATCAGCCACTGGGTAATGGCCATCATTGAACCCTTCATTGCACTGTCATGCACACAATCAGTCATGATGGGCCATTACATAATATGCCATTATCTGTCCCATCATTGTGCTGTCATCCACATGATCACCGGTGTTCATTTACTTTCTGTCCATTGTTCAAAGGTGGAACTCTGTGAGGAGTTGATTACAGCTACTGCTTATTTATGTGATTTGTTCATCATATGATCATCGCTAAACAGCGTTATTAACATTGTAAATTATTCAAAAATGGCTTCCATTCAAATACAAGTTGACAGGTAGGCAATTACCTTTGATCCATATGTGAAAAATTGACAACTCATCCATGACAATTACTGCCTATCATGGCTGATTGATTACCAAAAAATAGCCCCTTCACAGGATGCTACTAATCTGTGATTACCCATGCTGACTAATTATGTACAGGAGCCATTACAGTCAATGGAGTACAAAATTGATTTAAGATGTTTAGTAGGAAATATGTGAATTACATGTAGGTATTTTAGGTAGGTAACATTAGAGAAAATTGCTTTAGCTTTTTATTAAATATTTTAACAATAATTAATCCCTAGTCATAATTGTTTATCAAGTTGTTCTAAATAATAAACTAAATATTTGAATATTACTCACTTTCATTTTTTCCTAGTTAATGTTTAACAGCGATGCATTATGGAGAACAAAGAATATTGACCCAAAACTGTTTTCGGTTTGCTCGCGCTTGTGCAGTGTACCTTTGGTAGAAGATAGCTAAAATATAGCATGTAGTGGGAGAAATTTAATCACAATAAATGACCTCAAAATAAATCTTGTGTGTCATTAAATTAATATATTATTTTATTAACTGCACAGATTGCACACTCAAATAATAATCAAAAAATAGCTAGGTTACAGCCAGTTGCATTAAAATTACTTTTTTAGCGAACTGAAATAAGTGATGATTCAGCTAAGCAAGCCAACAAGGAATTTATTGCACAATACTTTAATATCAATATTTTCTTTAAATTACCAAATATTAAATACAACTATTTATATTTTTATATTCAAATTAAATAATATATAGCTTCTCTGCTATTAATAAAGGCGTAAAAATCTATATGAATGACATTCCTTACCATTTTGATAAATCCTGAAAACCTGGAGAGGTAGCACTAACAAAAGTCTCTTATTGTATAAATAATATTAAAGTTCTTATGGGACATTAATTCCACGTTTCAAATCACGATTTAACTTGTAAAAATATTGTACTAATGTCGGACAACGCCCTTGTCATCCATTGTAATTTACTTATCAATTCTATAGTAAGAAATTCAACAGATTATATCATAATTATATTGTACAACGGCGTATAATAATAAAACAAATATTTTTTATAATATTTGAAAACACGATATCAAGAATTACTTATTTTTTTCACGACAAAAATACCGCTGCTACTTAGGTACCCTTCAGTAAAACGAAATGGCGATTATTATAGCGAAATGCGGATGCGGATGTGCGATGTGGATCATCAGAACAAAAACGAAACTGGCTGCGTTCAATAACCCAGAATGTAATCCGCAGGCGCAACATACTTCCTTAACATGTGTTAAATAGAGATAACAAATAAATATAAGAAAAGTTTTGAACGCACTACATGCCACGTAGCCGCTAGAAAACGGAAATACGCATTCTATGCTTGATGTCAAACTTATAAATGTCAAAAACAGGCGCGAATTTTGAAACGTCGGCTGAGTACGCTAATAAACATAATTAAATAAATTGTCAAAACACTTAAAACCACAAATCAAAATATCGTGCATTTTTTTTATTGTTATTTATCCCGAAAATTATTTTTAAGCAAAAGACAATATATAATATTTGAAAATAGTAGACGCAAAAATTTGCCTAACTGCTTCCGTTGATTATCTAGATTCTTATTGGGTAGTTTCAAATATCCAATGAAAAGTACAATGAAAAAGAATTGAAACGCACCTTTAGATAACGGATTTTTATTAAAATGATTAAATGACATATGTCAAGGTTTGTGTTGATATTTTTAAAAGTTAAAGTTTTTAACATTTTTTATAACAAAGTTTACTCTTACTCATATATTTTAATGATCGTGTACCTATTTTATAAAAATAAGAATATATAATGGCTTTGTCTACACCGGGAAGTTCAAGACGTAAATTACCAACTGGAACATTTGACAAAACTCCAAAATCTCTAAACTTTACACCTAAAAGCAATTATGCGACTCCCAAAATTAAAAAGGTTGAAACTCCGGCATCAACTCCAGAGTGTTTTAGTAGTGTGCAAGTTGAAACCCCCGTGATAAAAAAACGAAGCAGCAAAGAAAAATTTGATGAAATTAGTAACTTAACAGTGGCAGTTAGGATTCGGCCTATGAATTCTAAAGAGTTACTTTGTGTTGGAGCTGCAGATGTAGTTCGTGTACGTGATAAAGATTTAATAATAAGATCCCAATCTACAGGTAACAGTAATATGAGTACTGACCACATTTTTCAATATGATCACATATTTTGGTCTTGTGATGAGAATGATCCACTGTACACTTCACAAGAAGAGGTATTTTTTACTCTGGGAAAACCTTTACTTAATAGTGCTTTCAAGGGTTATAATGGATGTCTATTTGCTTACGGACAAACTGGATCTGGCAAAAGTTATAGTATGATGGGAAAGAACATGTGTGAGACTGTAGATATTGATTGCGAAACATTTTCAGGAATTACACCAAGATTTTGTAGAGATATATTTGAGCGTATATCGAAATTAGACAAAGATTGTATATGTACTGTTGAAGTTAGTTATTTTGAAATATACAATGAGAAAATCCATGATTTACTCTCTAGCTCAATTAATACTAATAGAACTCCATTAAAAGTTAGGGAACACCCAGAATGTGGGCCTTATGTAGTAGATTTGAGTGTTGAGGTTGTGAAATCCTACAAAGAATTGAGGAAATGGTTACTAATTGGCAATAAAAACAGAGTTACTGCTGCGACAAATATGAATGAGAAGTCTTCCAGATCACACAGTATTTTTTCAATAGAACTTTGTCTTTCTGATGAAAAAAATGGAGAAAGTGCTAGCAGGAAGAGTAAGATTAGTTTAGTGGACCTTGCTGGTAGTGAACGTTTAGGAAATTCACACAATACTGAAGAAAAAATAAGGGAGGGAGTGTGTATTAATAAATCCTTATTAACTTTAGGGAAAGTTATATCCGCTTTAGCTGACCAGAAGAAAAACCAATTTGTTCCTTATAGAGATTCTGTTTTGACATGGCTTCTTAGAGTAAGTGCTTTCTATATTATTTTAAAAAATGTTTTTAGTAAGGTATGAGCACCAGTAATCGACACTTTAAAATTCTAACTCTCTTAATAAGGAACAGTTTGATAAGTAGTGTGCAATCAGGATTCTGTAGTAAACACAACTGTGAAACTGCTTTACAGTTGGTGTTGCATGACTGGAAGTTATCAATTGTAAATAATTTGGTTACACTGGTTTTTAGATTTACAGAGGGCATTTGAGACTATTAATAGGGGTACATTATTAATGAAACTAAGAGCTATTGGTTTGGGGGGCTGTGCACTGGACTGGTTGGGTCATTATATGGAAAATAGGAAACAGAAGGTTAAGGTAAGTAATTGTGTTTCAGATACTATAGAGAATAATATGGGGGTGCCACAGGGTAGTGTTCTAGATCCACTACTGTTTTTAATTTATAATAATGACATTGCTGGTGTAGTTGAAAGATGCTCAATACACTTATTTGCAGATGATACACTGATATATTTTACCCATGAAAACACTGAAACTTGTTTTAAAGAAATTAATAGTTCTATAAGTAAAATATGATTATTGTAACAGAAACTTGTTGAAAATAAATTACGAAAAGACAAAGTGGATGTTAATTTGGGGTACTGGAAATTTTAAAAATTAAGTGTAGCGTCGCAGTGTGTTTCTGTTGATGGAATAAAGTTTCAGAGAGTTGAAAAATTTAAATATCTAGGGGTTATGGTTGATACAAATTTACAATTTAAGGAACATGCTAATAATGTGTGACAGGCTTCTGGTTCACCTACAGTGAATCAGCGAGTCTGTGTGGCGCTATGAAGGTGAATCCCGAATAGGGGTTGCTCAGGCGCCAGTTTTGGTATCACAGTTTGCTCTGCGACCCTGTGGTACACCAGAGTGTACTCAAGGTGAACTCAGTGGAGGTAAAAATAATTCCAGGCGGTCACTGCTAGGTAGCCACTATACTAGAATAAATACAAATAAAACACTTATCACCTCTACACCTTGTACCCTGAAAGAGAATGGTTAAGAACCAGCAGTAAGAGAAACACAGGAATAGGTAATAAAATAAATATTTACAAAAAAATAATACAATGGTAATTAAATATGAACGGCTCCCTATATTCGGAAAATTTATTAAAAATAAATTATTATAACTGAAAACTATTTAGATATTGACGGATCCCTATATCCGGAAAATTTATGAAAAATAAATTATTACAATTGAAAACTATTTAAATATTGATGGATCTCTATATCCGGAAAATTTATGAAAAATAAATTATTGCAATTGAAAATTATTTAAATATTGACGGATCCCTAAATCCGGAAAATTTATGAAAAATAAATTATTACAATTGAAGACAATTTAAATATTGAGAAATAATTACGGTTCGCTAGCACAGGAGGCCAAGCGTTCCGGGAATTATGGAACCCCCTATAAACGGAAAATTTATTAAAAATAAATGAATACATTTGGAAACAATTTAAATATGACGGTAATCAAATGCAAGCAAATAAATGAAATCAAAGTTGTCGGAACCCCCTCCTATCTTAACCACGAGCAATGGGAAGCGAAAAATTTCGTCTAGTAAGAAATATGGGTATTCATGCGGTGTTTTGGACGGCGGAGACGACGATCGTAGAAAATAATATTTTGAAATTTGCCCAGAGTCGATCGAGAGCGTGTGTGAATTTAATTTTACAGAAGTCGTCTGGCTTCATTCAATAACTAATTGTGGGCGGGGAACGGAATGATTCAAATACAGCTAAATAAATAAAAAAAGAAAATAAATTTACATGAAGTGAGGCGCGGAAATTAATTTAGACGTCTTTTTGGGAAATTAGATAACGTCGTCAGGAGAGGGATCACTCTAACCCGGAAACGGATCAAACCTCCGGAAAAGAAAATAAAAATAAAAAAAATTGGAAACGGGTTGAACCTCTCACTTCAATGTTAACAGGGCGGTTTCTAAGAGAGATTGGATATAGTCGTTGACAAAGAGCACTCGGAGTCTAGCCTATGTCCAGCCTCAAATAAAAATTGCCAACGGTTTCCCACTGAGGGATGAAATGAAATATCGTGGATATGAATCAAAATTTTTCACTTGTCGCACGGGTGTCCCAACTAATTATATAAAAGTCGATAAAAAAAAAATAATATACGGTTCCTACCTTAGAATATAAACGGGGTTATTCAATAATCTTTTCGAAATCACGGCACTCACGGAGTATTTACTAGGCACTATAGAAGGGCGAATAGTCTTCGGCTGTCGGAAATCAAGAAAGTAGAGCTTACGGCGGCCGGCAAGCAAGAGGGCGTAATTCCCAGAGTGATTGAATTTATGCTTTTCGGTAAGCCCGAGTGGGGGATACCACAACTACAGCCGACTGTTTACAATTTAAAAATAAAAAAATTCCTTCTAGTACCTTGACAATTAAAAGTAGGTAATTCATACGAAATCGACTCTAAAAATGCCCATTCGGATTTCTGCAAATATAGGAATATTTTAACCTACGAGGGTATTCGCAATTGTTGAAAAACGGCAATTCTTGGGAAACAGAAATACGGGGGATCTTCTACATGTCCTCAGGCGGGAATTAATTGAAATATACATTTTTAAGATTAATTGAGAGCGAAATTTAGTGACTTCGTCACAAATGTCATCAGAAGCATATCATTTAAAATAAACTATTTGAGGCGCTGTTCTCCACATCTCAACAAATGGACTAAAATAATAATTTATAATAATCTAATATTATACCTCATTTTAATTATTGTGCCACTATATGGTATTTGCTCAACCAGAATGAGTTGCAATGATTGCAAAATTTGCAGAATTTTTTATTGTATTTTAAATGTATGTTGATTCTATACTTATGTATTTTTTATATTTTAAATGTGAAAAAATAGCTTTTTGACTAAATAAACGATTTATAAACACATGTATTCAGATTTGTACATAATTCTCTGCCAGGATGAAATTCTAATGTCTCTGGCAATACTGTAAAATATCCTCGAAGGTTAGAGTTTTAGTTAAGCGGCAAAAATGGCACAAGTTGTGTCCAGCACATCAATATTTTTTTTTTCTAGAAAAAATTGTTACCTATATTATAAAATAGGTTAACACGTTCACTGCCGATCAGTTTAACCCTGAAGTCACCTAAGTACCGAAGTCCTACTTACTACGCATTTACCAACAGGTAGTCGTGGGCGCTTTAAAGCGCCAGCGGTACTCATGCGCAGGTAACGCGGACGCTTTAAAGCGTCCTCTGGCAGTGAACAGGTTAAGATATGCAAATAAAATTTTGTGTAAGGTATCTTTGCATTCTAAAACACATGTTTTTGGTAAAATTTCATTGCTTACTTGAATGATAACATACATTTTAGGGGTGTCTATAATTGGGTTTGCATACCCATATTATTCTTCTGTGTTATCACTTTTTATTGGTCACTGGGGTATTATGGGGCTCCAATATTCGATGTCTTAATGCTGTCTTTGTAGTATCAATAACTAGAGTGATGATAACTAATAAAACTGTCAATAACTGGGGCAACCATAACTGGTGAAACTGTCGAAAACTGGTGAAAGGGTGTCAATTACTGTGGTACCCAAAATTACATTAAATCACTATAAGATACTAGTGTTGATTACTGGTGCTCTTGCCTTATCTAAGAATTAAAAAATATGATATAATATTAAAGTTAGAAGTAATAAGAGTTACATTGGTTAAAGGACTTTGGCTTCCAAATTGCCTCTAACTTATATTAAAGGCCTCAATTATTTTTATAACAAAACATAATTCTACTTTTATTTGCAGGAAAGCCTTGGGGGCAACTCATTAACTTCCATGTTAGCGACAATTACACCAGCTAACACCCATTTAGATGAAACAATAGCAACTTTAAGATATGCTTGTCAGGCTAGATCAATAGTAAATAGAGCAAGGATCAACGAAAATCCTCATGATCGTTTAATACGAGAACTGCGTTCAGAAGTAGAAAGACTGAGGGCTTTACGACAAGATTTTGAACGTAGCTCATTATCAACCTCATCTTTAACCTCTTGCAATGAAAGTCATGATGAAGAGTTAGAAGGTCTGAGGAATAAGTTAAAAGAAACAGAAGGACGATTAGGGGAGGCTCAAAAGAGTTGGGAACAAAGATTCCTGGAAACAAAGAAAAGTCAGTTAAAGGAATTAGCAGAAGCAGAAAAGTACAAAGCTGAATTAGAATCCAAAGTTAGAATTATGAAGACCTTAGATAGCAACGTTAAGTTGTCTCCATATAGAAGTAATTTTCTTAAAGAATTAGAAGGTGTACTTACCAAGGAAAATGATCAGTTGTTTAATAATGATTTAATAGACAGTTTGAAAAATTGGTGCTGCAAAAATGGTCTAACTTGTACTTTTACTTCTGAAAGTCTTGTCATAAAAGACCCAGTAGAACATAAACAGACATCCGTTTTGCTTAGTTCTGTTAATTTGAAAGGCTTTGAAAATATTAGTGACTTTGTAAATAGTTTAACTTGGACTGAAAGTAAAAATCTTGCCAAAAAAATAACCAAAACGGAAATCATGTCTTCAATGAATAATATATATCAATCTTTAGCTTCTTTGCAACCTGCAGAAGATGAAACTAATTTATGTTTATTGTTTGCAAAAGTTAATAAAACCCTACAAAGTTTCGAAGCAGCGCTTTTAAGCAATGCTAAGAACAACAATAGCCAAAAAGTTGTAACATTTAGCTCAAATGTTTTCAAGTGATAGTTTATCCGATTATTATAGTAAAAATTACTATTTAGTGACTTATTAGTATTGCTATTAATTTATTATTTCTCAAGTGTGAACTGCTTTGTTTGTTTGACTAATATGTATTATTATGTGTTTATACTATTTTATACAATAAAGTTTTATATTGAGTTCTTATTATTCATTTGTTTAACGTTCGTCTATTTTGTTATACTCTATTATGAATTGAATATAGTAACAAAAAACCTATCCCTAATTCCATAGCTGTACTGATTTCTTATCCGTTATAAAAAATCTAAATAGTATAAAGCAGTCTCTGTTTTTCCCCGCCTTGCTTCTTCTAAACCAAACAACCGACTTTGATACGGTTTTCACTAATAGAAAGAGCGATAAAGGAGGTTCGTGTATATAATTTATAAATATTTTTTATAAAATGGCTGAATTATGATGGTGTTTTTTTTCAAAAAAACTGTTTGTACTTTTACATGGCTAACGCTGGCCAAATTTTAAGAGATATATCAAAACAATGTACTAGAAAATAGTAGGTCCTAAAAAGGTCTACATAAAATTCTACGATAGCATGTCTATCTTCTAAGGTACACTCACAGTAACTAGTTTTATCTATTACAAATTAGTAAAAAGCGGATTATTATTGGCAAAAATGTGAACAATATATAGCGGCTTGTCTGTGAGGGCTGCTGGACTACAGCCCATAGTGTAAGGGGGAAATGAAAATGTATTGTTTATACCATTTTTAATAAAAAAATTATATTCCACGGCTTGTTTGTTTAGGTTGTTTCAATATATTTTCCGTAATCTATTTACTGACGTTGCTAGTTGGTTGTAAACAAGGAAGGGCTGAAAGTCGTGGCGCCCTCAATTCAGGTGTAGCCGTTAGATCGAGCTACGTTGATCACAGATACGGAATTTTTAAACAAAACATTGCTACGACAATCTCCGTTTATTCCGTTTATTTTTCGTGTGTTAATTTATTGATAATAGATTTTTTTTAATTTATCTCATCTAGCGAATTTTAAAGACCTATTTCTTTCACTTATACTACTTTAATTATATGTAGATACTTCTAAAAGTTTTTCACAAAAAGGAAGCCTATTTATGGGTCGCAACTGATTTGCCTTGTTTATATATTTTTGGGATTGGAATTATTGTTGATGTTTTAAATCTCTGTGGAACAATACTCTTATCTAAACTAGCATTTATTAAATTAGTAATGGATAACCAAGTACATGAAGTATATATATTCTTAATGATACCAATACCTATATCATCTGTACTAGACTTCTTTTTTTTAGTTTTAATTACTTCATACAAATTGCTTAGGGTAACTGTTCTAAACTTCGTCATTGATGATTCGTTGAAGGGAACTGTTTCCAAGCAAGCTTCAAAGTCACCAACTCATATCAATAGTTAACATAATATTCTGAATGCTACCCACGTAATATTGATTTAAACATCAGTAAAATTCTCATTATATTCTGTCCCTTCACCCACCAAATTATTAATGTAGTTTGTCCAATTTTTTGTTCCAACTATTCGTTTAATTAACATTAACTTTGGATTTCCCTTGTTTTTATCTATATTTATTTCATAAAAATTACGTTTGGCTTCCTTCAAGCTCCGACCACATTCATTTCTTTTTATTTTAAACTTCCAATCATCTGATCATTTGTAAGTGTAAATGTTTTATAAGCTATATGTTTGTCTTTAACGGCTTTTCTGCATTTATTGTCAAACCACTTATTATTTACATTATGTACTTGAATATATTTTGTAGAAGCTATAAAATTAATTACTGATAATAATACATTATCTAAAAAAAATTGTGCTAGAACATCAACTACGGAATATCCCCAATCCCTTTCAATGAAGATGTTGATCATTTTATCATAATTTTTATTCATACGATTTTTTTTTAGTTTCCTCTAAATTAATATTTAAATTTTGTATTTTGACTTGTATAATGAAATGGTTTGATATTATGTATTTTTTAGTAAATTCAGTAATTAGTTGATTTATTCTTGGAGTTTTCTTTTTTCTTGACAATTTTTATCAAAATGAATTTTGAAATCTCCTGTTATAATCACACTACAACTCTGCTATATGTTTCTACAAATTCATCCATCCATTCTGAAAAGGATTTAAAGAATAGGGCAATGTTAGCGTTGAGGGACCTATAAACACCTGCTACACCGTATCTAGTACCATTCACTCTAACTTCTATAGATAACAACCAAAGATTCATATCGGGTCGGTGGTGTAGCAGTCTAACGCGCTTATATTCGTTTATGGTCAGAGACAGACGGGCTTCGAATCCTAGCCCATACCATGTGAATTTTTAATTAAATTGCATGGTTCGGTATATGATTTGATATGTGCCGTATTAATAGAAATTCAATTTCTGTTGATATGACATGTAGATTATAAAATCGCCATGCATTACCGTCTCGATGATGGTGGGTGAGGTTTTCCTCACCTGTAAGCCAAATGGCACCATCAATCATCTTTAAGTCGCCCCGGAGCGCCACGGCAAATAATAATAATAGCCGCCCCTTTCCCCGCACAAGCTCAGCTTTTGGGGTTAAAATTCACTCGTAAGGGGGTGAATTAGGGAGAGTATTATTATTAATCATTAAAGTTTTTATATTTGACACTTTCAAAAATGTTTTGGTAAATAGAACTCTCCCAGTGTGTCGACTACTTGAATCACATGCGACATGTTAGATTTCCAACACCTGTAATTTACAAAAAAAAATATATAAATTTTTACATCAATGGTTTTACCTGCTATTAATTTAATTTCTGCTTACGACACTGCTTAAAAGTTTAGACAGAAAGATATTGACTAGGTTATGGCTAAGATGCCGGTATGTCACGGTCTCTCGAAGTAAGATTTTGAAGCTTACCGTAAACCGGGGTTACTTTGACTTTACGTGTTACTTTGACACCTTTAGGGGCTACTTTGACTTCAACGGTTTTCTCGAATTGTCGTTCGAGCGCGTGTTAATGTGTTTTTTAATAGTTCCTATGTTTTTTTATTGTTTTTTAATTCTTATGCAAAGATAGAAAAGTGTGACAGGCTTCTGGTTCACCTACAGTGAATCAGCGAGTCTGTGTGGCGCTATGAAGGTGATTCCCGAATAGGGGTTGCTCAGGCACCAGTTTTGATATCGCAGTTTGCTCTGCGACCCTGTGGTACACCAGAGTGTACTCAAGGTGAACTCAGTGGAGGTAAATAATTCCGGACGGTCACTGCTAGGTAGCCACTATACTAGAATAAATAAAACGCTTATCTCCTTTACACCTCGTACCCTGAAAGAGAACGGTTAAGAACCAGTAATAAGGTAAGGAATAGGTAATAAAATATATATTTACAAAAAAATAATACAACGGTAATTAAATATGAACGGCTCCCTATATGCGGAAAACTTATTAAAAATAAATTATTACCAATGAAAACTAATTAAATATTAACGGCTCCCTATATGCGGAAAATGTATTAAAAATAAATTATTACCAATGAAAACTAATTAAATATTACCGGTTTAAAGTCTCTCTTATGTAGACATCTGGTAGTCCATAGCTTCTACAAGAGAGAAACCCTTTCCACGAGCTGTTATGAAGACTAGGGGCTGAAACAGCTCTGATTATCGACGGGGGGAAGCAAGCTAATACCCCTATCACCCCCTGATTAACGCGAAAATGGATGAAGGGTGCGAGTGCCCCCAGATTTAAATCCAATTTACTTTATTACCTTGTTAGGTACTAAGGAAATTAAAAGTTCGTAGTACCTTTTACTAGTACGGGAAAATATTTACGGTTCGCTAGCACAGGAGGCCAAGCGGTCCGGGAATTATGAAACTCCCTATATACGGAAAATTTATTAAAAATAAATTAATACACTCGAAAACAATTTAAATATGACGGTAATCAAATGCAAGCAAATAAATGAAATCAAAGTTTTCGGAACGTCCCTGTATCTTAGACCAGACGGATCGACGCTCTGGCAATTATTGAACGAGAATGATAATTTTCAGCGCGATGTTTGGGACAAAAATGCGATGGTTAACGTAAAAATTATTTTGAGATTTGCCCAGAGTCGATCGAGAGCGTGTGTGAATTTAACTTTACAGAAAACGTCGGGCTTCGTTCAATAATTAATTGTTGACGGGAACGGAATGATTCAAATATAATTGAGTGAATAAATAAAAGAAAAGAGAAACTTACATGAAAAATACTGGTGCTTCTTATAAAAAAAAATGCTAACGGTTTCCCACTAAGGGATGAAATGAAAAATGCTGGGCATGAATTAAAATTATTTCACTTGTCGGACGAGTGTCCCAAACTAATTGTAAATAAAAATTTCCTTCATTTAGAAAAATAAACGGGGTTATTCAATGATCTTTTTCGAAATCACGGCACTCACGGAGTATTTACTAGGCACTATAGAAGAGCGAATAGTTTTCGGCTGTCGGCAATCAAGAGAGTGTAATTCCCAGATCTCATTGAATTTATGCTTTTTCGTAAACCTGAGTGGGGGGATACCACTACTACAGCCGACTGTTTACAATTTAAAAATAAAAAAAATGTCCTTCTAGTACCTTGACAAATAGAGGTAGATAATCGGTACGAAATCGACTCTACAAAATGCCCATTGGGATTTAGGCAAATATAGGAATATTTTAATCTACGAGGGTACTCGCAATTGTTGAAAAACGGCAATTTCTGGGAAACAGAAATACGGGGATCTTTTACATGTCCTCAGGCGGGAATTAATTGAAATAAACATTTTTTAAATTAATTGAAAGCAAAATTTAGTGACTTCGTCACATAAGAATAGTTTTTGTTGGTTTCTTGTTTCGTAATAAGTTTATTTATATAGGATTACCTATATTATTAAATAAATAATCTATTTTTTCAAATTTAACCTGTTTTATTAAGAAAAGTTGTATAGAACAATTTTTTTTTTTTTTAGTTTATGAGTGTCAAAGAAACCCGCCAGACGGCTATCATTGATTTTTAAACAATATAAACGTCATGTTAAAGTAGTCCCCCTCAGGGGCTAGATTGACACTTTTAAAAAAATATATATAAAATTTTACTGGTAATTTAGGCCTTCCCTTTTAGTGTATTTCTCAAGCCAAGACTTGTGGTACGACGAGATAGAATGAGCGTCCATTATAGCCTTTTCTTTTTCGTTTTGCCACAAAAACCTCTCAAAATATGTCAAAGTAACCCCGGTTAACGGTATCTTTTGATTTTTGTTATCCTGCCTTCCTGAAGCAGGTCCCTCTTCTTGGGCGTGAACGCACCGACTCTGAAGGGTGTGGACTATATTTTAAGGGCTGGTATTTGAATGTGCTGGGAAAGTTTTGCGAACTACCATTTTAAAACGAGCATACAAACGACAAATCGTTCTTAACGGCGGTGGCCTATGACCACTTAACTAAGACAGTAACACTTTTGGCGAAACATAAAAAAACTAATGAGAATAAAAGTGAAATACCGTTCATACTGGATGATAATAATTACTTTAAATTTAAATATATATTAAATAAGTGAAGACCTAACAGTTATACAGTGTGTCCATGGATGGGGTCCCCAAGGGGGAAAATCTTTATTATTCATTAATATTCTATTTTAAAATATTGGAATTTTTATTTAAAAATTTGTATTTAGTCTCTATGCTAGTTTATAAACAACTTTGTTTTATAAAATTTTTGTTAAAAATAATAAATAATGGTACTTCCCTCTTGAAGCATTTTCATATTTTCCTAATTTATACCCTGTACATTTAATCTAAAATTTTTATAAGGCAACTCCATTTTCTCAACAAGCAGAACTTTTTATAAAGAATGACTTTTGGTCGTAAAATGAATAATAAAGATTTTTCCCCCTTGGGGACCCCATCCATGGACACACTGTATATTTTATGAGTTTAGCATATGTTGTCAAACGGTCGCATCATGAAGTTACGTTCCCTCTTTCCTAGTCTGGAGTATTGTAAGAAGTATTGCCTCGTGAACATGATATTTGAATTATTTATTTTTCAACATTACCTGTGACATGACAATTTCCAAATGGCGGCGAATTCAAATCAGTTAAATACAGTGGAAAATGTGACGTAAAGTTCTATTATAAAACGCATGAAATTGACAGTTTGGAGTTCTTTTTGTCCTGCACATATCGGCTTAGGAATAAGGAGTAGGGGTTTATTATATAACCATCTTAATATATGATAATCATATGATGATAAGTGTTATAGAGATGGAAAGGATATGAGAAAAACAGTAGCTATATATGTACATAATAGGAGTGTAATAGGAAAAATGTATAAATTCATAAATAATAAATATTTTTTATAAATATTGTTTATTTTCTTTACAAAATGATACACCATTTTTACAATAAAAAAATGTTTTAAATCACTCGATTTAAACAACTGAATTATGATACATAAATAAATAAAATAGGTCACAAAAATCAATTAACACTCAACATTTAAGTGTACCTACTATTTCAAAATACAAACTTCCAGTTTTTGAACCAAATTACTTATCAATAAAGACGTGTAAAAATTTTTCACCTATCTTAACCATCAGTTCTTGTCAAAGTCCAAATTTTGTTTTTTATATTTTTTTATTTACAAGGTGGCGAAAATTTAATTTTGTATTTTTGTTAACCATTGCGCTATAAATAGACGAAATTCTGAATTCATAATAAACATAAACAGGCAGTTAATGAGAGTACTGTAGAAAGGGACTATTCGAGAAATAAGGGTCAATCAGAAAAGTGGTGGGAAAAGATATATTTGGCAACACTGTCGAAACCGCCCAGATAACACACCAAATCCCAGAGATATCCACAGAATATCTTTTGTGGATATCCAATATATCCACAGGTTATCAGAAATATTCCGTGGATCTAATATGGATATCCAAATGTCCGTCTATATCCAGAATATAGAAGATATCCTATGGATTATCCAGCAAAATATCTAATGGGTATCTTCCAGACAATACAAGAAATCCCAGAGATATCCACAGAATCTATTTTGTAGATATCCAATATGGATATCCAACCAAATGTCCGTCTATATCCCAGGATATAGAAGAATTCGGATATTCAGCAAATATTTTATGGGTATCTTTAGTAAAGGTTCATAAAAGTAACCAATGATTATTGAATAACGTCGAAAGAAAATAGCAGAGAAAAAATATTTTCAACACTCAAAATATTTTCAACACTCTGCCTTTGATTTTGCCCACTAAGGAGAAAGTCATCCTTATTAGGACTCTTCAGCAATAAATGGAAATTCTCGACTCCAGTCTCTAATGGAGTCTGATTGGAAAACAAATTTCGATCGAACTCAATTACGGCGAGTTAAGCATGAGTAGATGCGATAGTGGTATCGCCATCTATACTTAGTAAGCAAAATCAAAAATTACATCTAGTGGATATCCACGATGGTTTGCGTTCGCGCCTACTTTGATTATTTAGTGGATGTCCATGGGATATTGAATACACCTTAAAAAAATATATTTTAAATATCTGAACGGTACTATTAGCCACAATGGCGAGCACTGGCGTAATTTTTTAATAATTTACTATATAATTACTATTATTTATGGACATTTGCATGTCTATAAATTACATCTCATGGATATAAAATAGATATCCACCATGGACTGGACAAAGGCGGTAAAAAAAGAAGGCATTTAACTTTAACTGAGGCCTTTGAGCGTTTTAAAGTTCCCATCGCAACCATAAGCAGACATGCTAGAGGGATTAATGTTTTTAAAAAACGGGAAGACCTCCAATATTTTCTACAGAAGAAGAGGAATAGTTTGTCAAATGCGTAAATATTGTTGCAGCATGAGGACTTACCTTCGACTTAAATAAACCTAAGACTTTTTGAAAAAAAAATTACTTGGATAAAAAGATGTAAAAGGACTCGTTTAAAGGATAGTAGAGATTGAGCTTTTGCTTTTCTTAAACGACATCAATGGCTTATATCGGACCGTCTATCATCCAATATTTCTACAGAAAGGGCTTCACTTTCGCCAGAAGTTATTTATAATTTTTTTGATAATGCCAGAGATATGTTATTAGCGGTGGATCCTAGTCTCAGGATAAATTTTGACGAAACGAACTTAAGTGACAATCTCGGTAATAAAAGAGGATCAAGGTATCCCGGAAGGATAATAAATTCGACCAAAACAGCAATAAGTGTAATGTATGCCAGCACTGCTGATGGGCAGTTATTACCAGTTTATGTAGTGTATAAAGTTGAACATTTTTGAAACTCATAGACTGAAGGAGGCCCTAAAGATGCTAGATATAATCGATCCAAAAGCGGGTGGTTTGATGCCACTTGTTTTCGAGATTGGTTTTTACGGTGGTAGTTCCGTTTTTTAGAAACAAACTCCAAAAAAAGGTACTTAAGTGCCTAGGTATAAATAAGAGAATTAGCTAAGTCATCCAGATTTAATTTTTATTTTAGTCTCATCGGGGACAATTTGTCTTCCCACTTTTCTGAAGACGTCCTTAAAACATGCGAAGAAATGGATATTGCATTTATATGCTTGCCAAGCAATGCAATTCACGTCATGCAGCCATTGGACATCGCGTTTTATGCTCCACTAAAAAATCATTGGAGCGAAATTCTGACAATGTGGAACAAAGGTCAAGAGCGGAAAATGATGTATCTATTTCCTAGATTACTTACACAGCTTCAAGACAAGATTGAAGATAATGGTAAAGGAAGGCAAAATTTAATATCTGGTTTTACCAAAACTGGATTGCACCCTTTAAATCCTTCACGACCAAAGAAAAGATTACCTTCATCTTCCACGACAGGTACAGCTTTTAATTTAGATTCGGGCATTTCAGAATCCGTTTTGGACATTCTTAAAGAAATGCACATGGGTAATGCTAAGCTGCGTAAAACACCGCATCGTAAGAAGCTTCTTGTAGAAGCTGGAAAAAGTGTTTCCGCAGCTGATTTGTACCCATCTACCAGTAGAAACGAGTCCTTTAGTGATGCAGAGATTAATCCATGGGAATTATCATATGATAAATACCAGCCAGAAAAAAGTGACGATGATGATTTTCCTCTTATACACTTGAAAGAACCTCAAATTAATAGCAACTAAAAAGCCCAGTCAGAAGAAAGTGACGACGATGATCTTCCTTTTATACATTTGAAAGAACACCATGATAATTTTAAGGTCAATGATTGGGTGGTTGTTCGATATACACAATTGTAAGTCAATGCTATGTGGGACAGATAAAATTTCTTAACATTTTAAACGATAATGGATTTTTAAAAAAATCTTCCAACAGATTTTTTTTTAACTCCTCTTAAGTTAGATAAGGACGAAATAAAAACAGAAATGATTATCATGAAACTTAGCCCCCCTAAAATTGAAGGTTCGGAGACCCGGCAATTTTTTATCTTTACGACAAATCTTTGCAAATTAAACATAAAGTAACTAGTTGGTATAGTTATCTGTTTGTTAACTCAAAGAAAGTTATTTTGATGTTTCTTGAGTTATTGTATATCTTTTTAAATGATTTTATATTTTTAGTTTAAAATTTAATGTAAAATATAATGTTGTATGTGTTTTTTAGATAAACTCGTTTTTTTACTTTTTTAAAAATATTTTTTCCAAATAGCCCCTTCAGTGGGGAAATTGCGATTTATGCAATTTTAAGACATGTTTTCAAATAGCCCCACCCTATGGGGTAATTTGAGAAGACCTTAAAAAAATACAATATAGGAAATAAGTTGCCCTATCATAGGCCTTTCCAATGTCACTATAAAATTGACCAGGTTTAGATTTATTTTAAAGAAAGATATTGCTAAAAACCCTTTAAAAAATTCTTTACTAGCCCCATTCTACGGTACCTATTTAGAATGTTTTTTACTTTCACAATTATGTTTTTTTTTAAGCCATGAATATATTTTTTTAATGATTTTTTACTTCCCGAATAACCCCAATAACCACTTAAATTAAAGACACACTTATAATCTTAGGTATTCCCAAATATCCCCGTTATGAAGGACAAACCATTAAAGTATGCCTCTCCGTATACCTCAATTGTAGGCCCATAAATGAACACTTTAAACTACCAAATGGAAAGGTAGAAACTTGTGCTATTTTTTAATAGTATCCAAAAAAGGCAAGTCTTAAATAGTTCCCCACCCTTGTTCTACGGTACTTATAACTGTTCGCGGGAAAATATTTTTTCTTTTTCTTTTCCATCTTTCGGGGCATTAAATTTACAAACTATCTATATGCAATTAATCATTTAAACAGTACATTTTCAATCTTATTTTCAGTCTAAAACATTAATACAATTTTAAATTTGGCCACTTTGTATGAATAATATTGATTAGTACATTTTGCTTTCAGTACAAATCAATCAAATCAAAAACATAGGGTTTAAAAAAAAACAATTATCCTTCAGTTCTATCACAGATCGATGTACAAGTTAAATTTAGTCTTTAAAGTCAGGAGAATCGCTTCGTTTGACATAAACCTCGCCAAATTTGCTCATATATTTTCGTATAAACTCTCTGGCTTTCGTCTTGACATTATCTGTACACGTTAAATCTTCAATCTTTGTTATGTGTTTCATTTCTTTCAGCATAACAAAGTGGGTTAACTGAAAAAAAAATTACGTTTTACATTTCAGGTTATGTCAACATTTCCATAGTGTTTGCTGGTAGTGGACTCTTAATTGTAAAAGCTGCACCAAACGTAAGAACTTTTCCTTTATTAAATAATAAATAAGCATATTTATTTTTATTTTTTTGTTAAATTCATAAAGTATAATTACTATGACTATATAGTAAAATACAATAAATAAAATGATTCACTCACCTTTCTCGCTAAATGTTTAAAGTCCTGTGTATTTGTAATTCGTCCTTCTGTACAATCAGGTTTTCTATACGCGTTTAGAGAACTAACAACAGTAGAAGCCATATTTGTACGGAAACTTTCTTTAATTTTCTTAGCGGCTTCGCTATTGAAGTCTGGTTTTTCTTTTAGTTTCACTTTCACTGTAGTCTTTACTTTTTTCTCTTTAGCTTTTTTCAGTTCAATTTCTCTTAACTGTTTTTTGGTTTGCATAAGGATTTTTTCTTTCTGTCGCTTTAATTTTTCTTTATTAGCTTTGTACCTCTTGAGATCTTCTTTGAATTGTTTTTTATCTTCTTCAGTTCTTGGCTGCAAAAATACATTTTAATAGATATAGATATTGTATTATAATATATTAAAAGAACATTCGGTGTTCTTTAACATTTTTCTAATTCAATCGAGTATTTCGAGATGTCTAAAAATCAATAATTTCTATATTCCTAAATTGAAGGATAAACAGAAAAAATTATTTCTAAATAAAAAAGTATTCAAATTTAACATTGCTAATAAATAAACTTTGATAAGACTGGAAATGTGAAATATTTATAAATTTTTAAAGAAAGAAGTACAATGACGACAAATCTTGGGAAAAATATTAAATAAATGAAGGAAATTCAGGAATAAATTTCTGAGAAATTCCCGTAAAGTGAAAAAAAAAAACAGAAATAATTGAAAATTAGAATTAAAAAATCCACTCCTGGAAGATTCGAATCCACGACCTATGGAATACCAATAATTATTATGAATTATAAGATTCAACTCCAACCTGGTCCAATTTTACAACTCTTCACCTTTGCAACATCCTCCAAGGTTCATCAATTGTATGAATATATTTTAAATTAAGATATGTTAATCGATTTTAAACAACAATGCTTACACTAATAATAATTTCTTCACATAATCCTACTCTTCGTTTCTTCTTTACCGGTCTATCATCTTTAAACAAGTCTAGTTCTTTCAGTCTCATATCTATGGACGGTCTCCTAATTATATCTTCGTCAATACTTCTTTGCTTAATATCATCCATACTTAAATCACTTTCTAAGTGTTTCTCATCTGGACTAGGCGTTTTTGTGGGCGTGTCGTCCATATTTTCTGGATCTATTGGCAGGGACTTTGATGCTTTCGGTAAACTGTCCATTTGTCTTCTCACTTCCAATAATAATCTAGTGTCGTCGATGTCGTCATCACTGTCCGAATTCTCAGAACTCGAATCCGAACTCACCGTGCTCGATTCCGAACTTGATTCTGATTCAGATACTGAAAATGGAATAAAAGAATAAATATATGTACAGTTTTAACACTGTTTATCGCTAAAATTATTTTGATACAAAGGATAAGAAGTATAGTCGTGTATCTCATAGTATTTTATTAGAAAAACTTGGTTACTACAATATAAGAGGTACAGCGTTATCCCTACTTCAATCATTTCTAAATAATCGGTATCAGTCAGTAACTTATAATAATAAAATGTCTCATTTTAAACGGTCCTCGGACCGCTACTCTTTATTATATACAGGGTGGGCCACCGGAAACGCCTCTATGTGTAGAGCCAAAACTATTTAATTTTTTTTTAAATATGTTTTCACAGCGGGATATGTATCAGAAAATGCAACAATTTAAAAATAATTTCAATTTTACCGGGTTCTCCGATAAAGTAATACATATCAAAGTTAAGTTTTTTTAAATGAATCTTGTTTTTTATTATATATTTGAATTGTACTCGTTTTCCCATTATAACTGTACAAAATATTATGAGATTAAACAGAGTATTTCACACACTGTAACCATTTTTATATGAAAATCTTATTGATTTCAATGACCTGTATACTGCAAAAGAAACGATCGAAAAACAATTTTTTTGCGGTAAAAAGTTTTTGATAACAATTATTATTATAATAATAATAATAATAATAATAATAATAATAATAATAATAATAATAATAATGTTTATTCCTCTTAAAAACATACAAATATAATATAAAATACAAAGAATGAACAAACATAAATAATCACAGAAGTAGTGTTAGACCACTTGTATGTATGTGATGTACTTAAATAGAAATAAAAAAAAAAAAAAATGAATATATTATGTTCCATTATCGGAATAAATCTGTATCTAAATAATATAATATAATATGGTTATTTTTTTAAATTTTTGTTTTTTACCGTTTATTTATTGGGTGTATTGAACATTCCACAAGGAAAACCTGTGTGTAATCCCTTAGGATAAAACCAATAAACATGATAAAATTATTATTTTAATTTTGAAATAATTTCCTTTTTTTACGAAAATAAAGTAGTTTTTTAAGGCGAGTATATAATCTTTTTTTTTTAAACAAAGTAGAGAATATAAGTTTTTTTTTAAATAAAGTAATGTTCTATCATTGTGTGTTCGAGAGTGTTGTAATATCCACTGTTTTAGAATTAATAATTTTTATTTCTGCATGAAGCCTGTTGTATAATTTTGGACCCATGTACCAAAAACTTCTCTGCGTATTTCATTTTATCTACTTTAGGTAAGATAAAAGTATGTAGCCTTGAACGACTATTATAATCGTATTCCTTTTTTTAGTTCTTTCTTGTTGTGATGCTGGCATATGAGAAGATTTTGACAGAACAATTGTCTAGCATCAATACTCTCTTCGAAGAGATGTTCTGTTAGGTAAGTATACGGTTTTTTACTAAAATCTTTGTGAGCCATTTTTGAGTAATATTTAATTTATTTATGTGACAATCAAGTGCGCCGCCCCAAGCAATAATTGAATAAGTAATGGGTTTCAGCAAGAGCGTAATATGGTGTTCTTAGCTCATTCCATTTTAATATTTGAGAGAAAAATTTGAATGTATGCAATAACATCTTAAATTTTTTAGTCACAAAGTTGATATGAATATCCCATTTTAAGTGATTGTCAATATAGACTCCTAAGTATTTAATATTAGAAACTGCTTTAATTTCTATTCCAATATTGTTGACTTCAATTTCGATTTTGTTGTAGTTTGGAACAAAGAATGTCTTAGTGAAATTTACCATAGGTAAGTCACTTTCAACTAATAGTTTTAAAGATAACCCAGTTAGTGCTTTCATAAATAATGGCGGTATCGTCAGCAAAACTGACAACAGTGTCATTAGAATTAACAGAAAATTAGTTATTAAAGTATATATAGAATAAAATTGGCCCTAGTATGGTCCCTTGTGGAACGCTATACACCACATTCTTTGTTTCACTAACTGTATCTTCAATTTTCACGGCTTGCTTTCTATCTGTTAAATATGAGAATAATTAATCATAGCTTCTCCCTCTAAAACCTATATTTTCCAGGTTTTCAATCAGTTTTGAGTGGCTAACTGTATCAAATGCTTTAGCGAGGTCTACGAAGATGCAAAGCGATGCTTTTTTCTGATCAATATTTTCATAGATATTCTTTGTGAGTTAGCTATAGCATCTTGCGTAGACCTCCCCTCCCTAAAACCAAATCGATAATTAGAAATTATGTTATATTTATTCAGGAAATTTGAAAATAAGAATCACCAAAGTTTTTCATAAATTTTTGCAAAATTTGTTATAAGGGATATGGGTCTATAATTCGTCACATTATTTGTCTCCCCTTTTTTGAATAAAGGTTTAATTATAGCTGTTTTAAATGGTGTTGGAAATACTCCGCTCTCAAATGATTTGTTCATTATATATGCCAAAGGCTTTATTATTTCATTCAATTTTTTTTTATTACTTCAGCGCAGATATCATCAATGCTTTGTTATTTTTGAGGGAATTAATAGTTTCTAATAAGAATTTGGAATTGTTTTTTTTTTAAATTAGTGGGTTTTATTTGTCTTGCTAAATTACCGCCAATGTTAGAAAAGAATGTACAAAATTCATTCGCCATTAGCTTTTTATCAAACATTTTTTCACCATTGTCAAGAATGATTTTTGTGACTTTGGTGTATTATTTATAGTTTTCACAGCTTTGAAGGGTTACGATCAGTTTTTTCTATCAAATTTCTATAATAATTTGTTTTAGCAATTCTAATTAAATCCCTTAAATGGTTTCTATACTGTCTATATTCAACTAGGGCATTTGTGATCCACTGCGATCGTTTTCTTTGTTTTTATATGTTTTTATATATTCAAATTTTCTTATGTTGGTTTTTATAATATTAAAAAATGTTTCAGTGGCAATACAGACAATGTCTTCAAATATGACTGAATTCCAGGTTTCCTGACTTAAATTAGTTTGTAGTAAGTTATAGTTTATATATTTTTTAGTAATATCGTTTGTGTTTAATATTAATTTTCTTTTTCGCAGGTAATAATTTGTGCCAGAGTTGTAAAAAGGTCTGTAATCGATGTTTTTAATACAAGAGGAATATACTTATTGTTGTCTTTGGTATTATCTAATATAAATATATGATCAATACAGCATTTAGTATTATCTTGAACATTGGTGTATTTATTTATAAGTGATTTATATCATTCTTCGCTTAAAATATTTGTGTACTCAGACTTCAACTTCTTCGCTGAAAAGGTTGATGTTGATATCGCCGGAAATTATATGAAAATCAAATTCTTTTTCTTTTAGATTCTGCAGATAAAGCATTAGCTTCAAATTAAAATCAACAACACTAGTTGAAGGAGGTCTATATAGGCATGTAATTAGAAAAGTACTGTAATTTATTATTACTTTAAGTTTTATGGAATTAATTAAGCCTATTTTGACAATTTTGTAGGAGTATTTGAGAGTTTCTTTGATGAGTACAACTGTTCCATTTTTGTTAATACTGCTCTCATTCTATAATCCATCGTAATCATTTAATTTTATCAAATCTAAGTTTGTAATTTGAAATGTTTCTGAAAAACATACAATGTCAAATTCTATATTAATATTTTCATATAGTATACTAAATTCATCAAAATTTTTATATAAACCTCCAATGTTGCTATTTATAATTTTTAAATTTGCCATTTCCTCGTGTTTAATATAGTTTTTATGGTCACTAGCATTTTGGATTATGCGCGAGTTCAGTAATGATGTAATTACGTTCCACTGACAATTAAAGTAACAGTAGATTTTTTGAGTGCGTTTTGTTTACCAAAATTATATCATTTTTTTCACTTTTATAAATATATTCCTAAAGTAATGTATCAAATATACAATCGTTTAGTTACCAATTACATACCTTTAAACTATTTTTTATGACCTGTAAACAATATTTTGAAATAATATAAAAACAGTAAAAACTTATATGTCAAATTTATTGATGTTTTTGTTAAAAGTTTGGTTAGAATTAAATGTCAGTGGAACCAAAATGGCATCACCACTGATCTGTATTATTTTACTGGATAGGATATAGCCCCCTAAAAAACGTTCCGAAAAATTGGCCGATTTGGGCAAATAATATGGCGGACCGGATGTTATTTAACGTAACCTCTATTTCCTTTTGTCATCACATTTGTCATTTAATTGTGTCAACAAGCTACCATGAGATGTTTTTATTGTGGATAACAAAGTAAAAAGAGTATGAAATAAACAATAAACGTTCATTCCTGAAGACACAATATGCTTCACGTTTCCATTTTTATATTTTCTTTCATAAAAAATCAAATCATGGGTGAAATTTTCCGAAGGACATCGCCCGCAAAAGGAATAGAAGAAGAATAAGAAGAAAAACTAATCAAATTATAGGTTAGGTATGTCAAATTATCCCAAATTTCAGTTCTGTGAACCCACCATAATTTGCCCAAATCGGCCAGCATTGTTGCACTTCCGGTCTCCTTGGTGGAACGATTTTTTAGTATGTTAAATATAGCCCATATCCTATCCAGTAAAATAATACAGATCAGTGGGCATCACACTGAACTAGCGCATTGTGGTATCTATTAAATCAAGATCAAAATGATTAATATACTCATCCATATTTTCCTCAACAAAATATTTTATAATGTCTTTTTATTTATATAAAAATTGGTTGACTACTTTGATCAATAACTCCGGCAAATAAATGGGTATATCGCTTTAATTTATTTAATCAAATTTTGTTAAGAACTAAATAGGTACCTATGAAAAATAATTTACATTTATCTATTTATTATCAGATATTTGGAATATATAAAAAAATTAGAAAAATAACAGTTTATAGTGGAACTTACTTAATAATCTAATCTATGGTAGATAATTAATAGCTAACCAGATAAAAATTTTAATAGGCGAGGGAATAAAGTTTAAAATTTATAAATTTTTGATGATTATTAAAAATATACACTTAAGTATTTTCCTAAGTAAAAAAAAAGTTTATAAATATTATGAAGCCTAGAATTTTGTAAAAACTGTTTTTTTCCTATTTTGCCGAGGTCTTGCGCTGTGGATGTGTGTCTCTTCGTTGCAGAATTGCTGGAGTAGGAGTGGTATCAACCAGAATATTTCACAACTTTCCCTTGGTTCAGTTGGGGTTTCGTCTTTGGGGCCTGATCGTTTGTAGCTACTGGGACAAGTGGTGGAGGAGAAAAAACGTTTTCATCTAGTTCTACCTCTTTATTTGGAATAGGTGTTGGTGGAATACTTGCAGATTTCTGTGGTGGACTATTTTTTTGCATTTCGTGCATCGCGAGCACTTTAAAAATCAATACCTTGAAATGGATCTATCTTTATATAAAAATTTTAAGGATATATTTCATGTAACGTCTTAGCAGTTGAGTTCCACATACACTTTAAAGAATACTCTTTGTAGTCGCTTCCGTCTTTTTTTTTATGTTCCAAGCCCAATCTTTTAAGATATTACATAGTTCAACAACAGTTTTAACATTTGATAAAACATATTTGCGCTGAACGCAAAATTTTATAAACTGATTCCACACACTAGTTTTACTTTTAATTGTATTCTTCGGGGTATTATTGTCTATAAAACTGTCTATTTCTTCGCTATCAACACACCCAAATCGGTTCATTTTAAACGTTTCACTAATATATTAATTTTTAGTCTGACACTTAATATTATTTGACAGTAACCACTTTTAATATTACACCTACAATCAAGTATGCGAGTTGCTGTCAACATAGGTGAATATCGAGCACCATGCATGGATAATAGATTTCAAATAGTGAAAATAGTCGATTTATTTGTTTCTGATTGGTTCTAAGGATAACGTAAATTGTTAAAATTTCAAATCTGGCAGGCGAGGGAAATAATCAAATATTATCTATCTATCTATTGGCATCATATTAAAAAAATATGCATTTTTTTAAGATTCATATTCTATTTCTATAGTTTGAGTATTTTAGCTCCATAATAAGACGATTCAGTAATGTATTAGGCATTCCAAAGAAAATGGCTGTGTCGGTAAAAAGGATTAGTTTATCTAAGGGGTTGTGACATATGAAGTATTTTATCTACAACACGTGAACTCATGAATAATAAATTACTTACCTTCTACTGGCTCAGGTGGAGGTGGTGGTTCCCATTGACTTCTTCTTATTTTAATATGGTAGTAATAAGGTCTTCCATATTTGTCTTTGGCACATTTCCATTTCGGAGGTAGTTTAACAGGAGGTGGTATGGGTCCCATAAATTTAACTTGTGACGGATCTTCCTCAATTTGTTGTGGCGGCGGTACCTAGTATTCAGAAATTATTATCAGTAGTTATAATAATTAATATTTTGCGATCTTAGTAATAAAAAATAAAATAAACAAAAATATTTACCTGTGGTAAGGGCGGCGTTGGAACTGACATTTGCGCCTGTGCATGGTATAACTGAGGAGTACCTGGAAGCGGCGGCATATGTCCTTGCACTGGGATATGAGATAAAGATGTCAAATGTCCTGGAATCGGATTCTGAGGTAGAGGAGGCAGATGTCCTTGAACTGGATTCTGAGGTAGAGATGGCATTTGCAAGCTTATTGGGGATGGGTACTGGTATGCGGGTAAAGGCGGCTTTGTCAAATGAGGAGGCGGCAAATTTAGATTTGGCCGCTGATGGGGTGAAGGTTGAGAGGGATATAATCGTGGATTATCTTGTATTGGCACTGTTTGCCATTGAGCTGTAAAAAAAAACGTTTCATCAGTGTCGTATAAAACAATTCATACTTCAAAAAAAAAAAAAAAAAAATAGGATGTTATTAAAAAACATGCACAGGGTTTTTCATTATATTTTGACCGCTACTTATTTTCATTATTATTGCAAACACAAAAAAGGTTTTAAGTAAAAGCTTTGTTGTTTTACCTGTACCGATTAAAAATGTAATAACTTGCAGAATTGTATACACAGGGCGCCTCCAACAAAATATTATTTAATTTTTTAATGGGACATCCTATATATACAAAATTTTTTACACACGTCAATAGTAAAAACTTTAAAATATTAGGCATTTAAATAAAAATATAAATAATACATAAACATATAATATAGCACATAGTAAAGAACAATGTATACATAAACATTGTAAAAATAGGTAACATAAAAACACTTATAGTTTCAAGACACCCACCTGATTTTACTATGTTGTTGCATCACTGTGAAAAATATTTGTTTTAAGTTATTATCAAATCATTAAAGTTGTGGTTTAAGATTTCCTCAATTTAATAAAAAACCTTAGATTCAAGATATTTTTTTAATGTATTTTAAAAAATCTTTGGAGACAGTTCTCGTATTTCAGGGGGCAATTTGTTCAAGACCTTTGGGCCATAGGAAGAAATTCCAGATCTGTTTTTTTTTCCAGTCTATGGTATTTAAGGTGTATATTTTTTGAATTTCTAGTCATGTGGGTGTGTAGATTATTGTGTGTTGTGTACTCTGTTAAATTATTTACTACATATTTCAATGAATACAAAATAAATAAAGATGGCAAAGTTAGTATATCCAAATTTAGGTAACTCTCCTTACAGTCCTCCCTGTAGTCCTTTTCATCGACTATCCTCACACATCTCCTTTGTAATCTAAATATTCTATTACTAGATGTTGCGTGGCCCCAAGTTAAAATTGTGTAGGCAATTTTACCTTTTACCTAATTTTACCTCACAGCACAAGTTAATTACCAGTTGCCAACACGGCTTTAGACAGAAAAAATCAACATCAACAGCAATAGATGAACTTTGTAACTCCATAATTGACAATCTGAATGGGAAGCAGTGCAAAATTGCCATATTTTATGACCTAACTAGGGCATTTGATACAGTCAATCATGACCTACTCATTGAGAAGCTATTTAGAATGGGAGTCAGAGGAGTGGCTAGCGACTGGATTTCTAGTTATTTAAGCAACATACATCAAATAGTCAGTATAGATTCGATAAAATCACAGCCCAAAGATATTAACATGGAGTACCACAGGGCTCGACACTAGCCCCGCTATTATTTATTATTTTTGTCAGTGACCTCACACAATCATGTAAAAAAGCCAAAAAACAGTAATCTATGCAGACGATACGAGTCACATAGTGGCTGAGCATAAACTTGCTTTATCGGCTGAGTATGCAAACGCCACTGTAGAAGAATTTTCGGACTGGTGCTCAGATAATGGGCTGCTAATTAACATAACAAAAACAGTATTTATGATCTTTCAACAAAAAAACATTAGTTATGACTTCTGCCCATTAATTAGGCTTGATCATAGAACGATAGAACAGGTGACAAACTTTAAATATCTAGGGGTGACCCTAGACCAGAAGCTTACATGGGAAGGACATATTGACAAGGTGGTCTCAAGGATGAGCAGTTTTTGTTTTATCTTTAGACAACTTCATAATACAACTTCTCTGAATGTATTAAAGTTAGCCTATTTTGGGCTGGTACAGTCATTATTAACCTACGGACTAACTTTTTGGGGAAACGCTTCACATACTGTAAAAGTATTTATAACTCAGAAGAAAATAGTGAGATGTATAACTGGTTCCCACTATAGGGCATCTTGCAAGAATTTGTTTAAATCTTTGGAAATATTAACCATGTCTCTATATATATTTGACCACATTAAACATTAAGAAAAATGAATCTCAATATATTCGAAATAACATGATTCACGAACACAACACACGGAGAGGCAATGACTTAAGACACTGCCATATTCCCAGCTGACCATTGGTCAGGGCAGGGTTCTGTGGGTTATCAGGGCATCATCTATTTTAATCATATAACTAGGCTTTTGGGTAATAGTAGTTATAACGTTTTTAAAACCAAACTTTTTAAATATTTAGCTGAAAATGCGTTTTATTCTGTAGAAGAATTCCTGCAGATTTCTTAATCATTTTAATTTAATTTTAGATTTTTTTTTTGTAGTAATGTGCCATAAATATTTTTTATTCTTATTATAGTAATTTTAGATATATGTTGTAAATGGAAGTGCTATATATTGTATTGTTCTATTTCTTTTTTTTTTGACAAGTCTTATAAATGTATATTTTGTTGTGTATTCAAACATATGTATTTGTACATTTGATAGATGAATAAAGGATTTTTTATTATTATTATTATTATTATCACCTCAAACCGAGTTTAACTTCAAGTAAGATTTATACAACCCGCCCTTAAAATATCTTTAACTTTAAGGAATCCTTAAGAAAGTCGTTGCAAACGGCTGTTAGTTTAACACTTTGAATTACCTATTTATTTTTTTTTTGTATGGGTCCAGTTAGTTCATGGTTCCTTAATTCTATCATAATTTGTTGTTTTATCGGCAAAGTAATTATAAAAGTAATTGCTAATTCCTTTTTTCATGTAATTGTAATTAATTCAATATAATTCCTATTTTTAAAACATGTACTTTGTTGTACATGTTCTAACAAAAATAATTGGAAATAAACCCCCCAGGACAACACTGAACTTAATAATTTTAACCTAGTTAGGGCGAAAGCAGGCTTTTATCACTAAAAATAAATCTGCCCAATATAAAAAAATAGGTTAAATGACATTTAAAAAAAAAACGATTTTTTAAAATACTTTAGAACAAAGCGTTTCCGGACCCATGTTTATATGGACTTTTTTTCATGAAATTAGCTCAGGAAACACCCTGTATGGCGTCGCAATGAAAGTGTTGATAAATGTTGATGACAAAAAGTTACGGAGTGAAATCACATTTAGATAGAAAAAGCAACTCACCTATTTGTTGATTCCAGATATACTGATAGCCTCTACTTGGATCAAAAGGTGCTGTAAATCTAGGATCAGCACCAATCATCATGCAATTCATTTCGTGCTGCCTCCACATTTCCCTTTGTTTTAATTTCCTTTCTTCTTCTTTTAATTCATGTTGTAAGGCAAATAACTTCCTTCTTTCTATTTTACTCAGTCTTAAAAATTCCGCACTCGGTTTGTCTCCAGGCTTAGGAGGTCTTCTGCGTCGATCCCATTCCCAATCCATTTTACCTTTCGATACTCCCCTATATCTATCCATTTTCCTGTAGTCGTCGCTTCCGTAGGTGTTTTGATTCGTTTGCATGAACTTTTTATTGGCTTCCCTTTCGTGTTCTTTCATTTGTTCTATTCTTTCTTTTTTTGGAATCCTAAATACTTCTTTTAAATTTTTCCATTCTTCTAATAGTTTTGTTGCTAAAAACTTGATTTCTTCTTGTTGGTCTTCTATGGTTCTTTCTAATGCTTGATCTTCTTTAATTGAATCTTTACTTTCGTCTTTTATTTCAACCGGTTTAGGTATTGGTTCTGTATCTTTAGGTGAATTGCTTTCAGAGTCTTCGGGAGAAGTTAGATCTTTATCAGTGCACCATTTTTCTACTGTCGGAAGAACTTTGCTGTCTTGAAGCATCGTTTTGTTAGGAATTGGTAAAACAGCCAGTGTTTGCAGCATTTCTAACCTAATAAAGAGTAAAAAGTGTGTGAGGAAGAAACAGGTACAATGTAATATTTTTACTCACCTTGATGATTCAAACTTTTTATTGGTGATTACCAATTGTTGGGCATCAATCATGTAACCATGCATCAATCTCAAGCCGTGATAGTCCAAGAACAATCTTCTACACGGCAATTCTCCTCTTCTTAAAACACGTAAAAGTTTGGCTCTTTGTTGAGGTTCTTTAGCTCTGACCATCAATCTACTAAGCTTAAGTGTGTGAGCTTGATTTTTCAATCCCGTGGTTACAAGCATTTCTATCTCTTCATTTAATTGCTAGAAAAAGTATTGAATAAGCAAATAAATTCAGTTTTTATAGTATTAATGCAACTTACATCCACCTCTTCAAACAGTTCAATTCTGGACTTCTTTCTCTGTACCTTCTTTTTGATTGTAGGAGGTTTAGGTGGTTGAGGTGCAGTCACATCTTCCGATGAAATTGGCAATAAAACATCTTTGCTTTCGGGCGTTTCTGCGATAATTTCCATTGCCGATTCATCTTCAAGTTTAACTTTAAAACCAACAATTGTTTCATAAAATAATGTATTTTTAATAAAATAATAGAATTTACCTCCAAGATCAGAGGGTGTCGTTTCAAGTTCAGTTGAAGGAATGGGCGTGGTAGGTTTAATTTCTTCAATTTCTTCCTCTTCTTCCTCCTCTTCTTCATCAGAATCCGGCTGTTCTCCTAACCATCCTCGACAAATACTTGCTCCACAGTAACATTTTTGTGCCTCTTTACTACAAAAGTTATTTTTTATCTGTTTTTATAATGTTCACTGTAACTATATCAACTGATTGCACTGGAATGTTTCTACAATTTGGAATACATCATAAATGTTTAAGGTTTGATGCTTATAAAATGCACTTATGGCAATTACACTTAAGAGGAAGTTTAGAATATACTTAGTTAACAGAAACCCTAATAGGACCACTTGTAACCACGTTTTGTTGACTGTTTCATTTCATTATGCAATGTATGGAACTACAGTCCTTTCTCAAGACTTGTCAAGAACAGCCAATGCACTAGGTGATTTTACCGGTTATTCATGAACTCCTACTCCTTTAAATATAATTTGAACTCAAAGCTTTAATAAAATGATACCTGTGATTTGTTATAATATACGTTTTTTACGTACAATTCTGTATTATTTTATTTCAAAGAGGTTTTCCCATTAAATAAAAATAAATAATGTAAAGTGAATGATACCTTTTTAAAACAATAAATTAATTAAAAATAAATAAAGTGATAGAAATGATATTTGTGATATTTATAATTAAGAATGTAAATAATTCTATGTTATCTAATATTTAAATCAAAAATATGCTCACCCATAACGCTGAAATCGGTAGTCAAATGTAATTTCTTCGCCCGCCAAAATGGTTCTTGTGCTGAAAAATCCAATTCTAAGTTCTCCATTTACAGTCCACTTTTGGGTTTCAGCATTAGGGTCGCAGGAGTGGTTTATAAATCTTGATATATTTCCTTTAAAAAAACAATTATTTTACAAGATCATAAACTTTAAAATGAGAACAAAACTTTAAGGATACTTAGATTTACCAACATTAAATTATTGTAATATTATTTACTTTCTTTGATTGGACAAAGCGTCATAGAACCAATTGTAATTTATAACAAAATTGAGACAAATAAAACTGAAAATATATTCCGGACATATAATTTTTAATAAAAATGGCTAATAATTTCAGCTAGAGTTTATAAAAGTTGACTGATTTTAAGTTTTGTTTCATTAATAATATTAATAATATTAATAATATTAATAATATTAATAATATTAATAATATTAATAATATTAATAATATTAATAATATTAATAATATTAATAATATTAATAATATTAATAATATTAATAATATTAATAATATTAATAATATTAATAATATTAATAATATTAATAATATTAATAATATTAATAATATTAATAATATTAATAATATTAATAATATTAATAATATTAATAATATTAATAATATTAATAATATTTTAACCTACCGCACCCAGGTATCTTCATAATTTATTAATTCCATTTATTATAGAAAATATTGCATTCTTATTAAATTCAAAATCATTCATTTAATGAAAAATCTCTTAGATAACTAAATCTATTTACCTACGACACTTAATAAATAATATCTATAAGCTGTAAAAGAACCAATTTCTTGCACGTGTCTGGGAACCCAACTCGAAACCACCATACAACATAAATTTTGTCACTTAGCTTGAGTCAAGTTTGAATAGTAACATTGTTTTCGACACACACAAATTTCAAGCCAAGTAATAAATCGACCACCCCTTTTCTATCCACCCAAATTCGTTCCACTGGAATTAAAAGTTAACGTCAAAAAAAGTAATTAAATCGGTATAAAGTCCCGAACCCCAGGACTCGAGAAGCATTCATTTTATTATTTTATATTCAAGCATTCATTTTATTATTTGTATCCAGTATTCAATACCTTTCCTAAAACGCCCTTCTTAAACGACGTCAATCCTACAATACCTCCTATCCCCGAAGCTGTCACGTCCAGACGCCCAACATCTCGAAGCCTAACGTCCCGACGCTCAACGTCGGGCCGTCCTACTTCCCTACCTTTCTACGTCACAACGCTGCCACTTCTCGCACCACCAAAGTATTCCGTACCTTATATACATCCCCACGCTCAACGTCCCGCCATTCGACTTCCCTAACTTTCTACGTCGCAACTCTATCACTTCTCGCACCACCTAAGTATTTCCTACCATATATTCGTCCCTCATCACTTTAGTATTTCCTACCTTATATTCATCCCGACGCTAAGCGTCTCGATGCTTAACATCCCGACGCCCTGCTTTCCTAACTTTCTACAATCCGAACGCTGTCACGTCCCGCACCACCTATGTATTTCCTACCTTATATCCATTCCGACGCTCACCATCCCGCCGCTCTACTTCTCGACGCTCACCGTCCCGCCGCTCTACTTCTCGACGCTTGCCGTCCCTAAATATTTCCTTCATAATATCCTTGTCGACACCCTTCGTCGCGCAGCACTACCTAAGTATTTCCTACCGTATATCTGTCCCGACGCAGTATCGAAATAAATACCTTTTTTTCCGCTACGACGCTAGGCGTCTCGAGGCAAGGCGACGCTCAACGCTGCGACGTATATGTCTAGTTTACCAGAACTTAATGTCTGCATTTTCAATGGTGAGTCGAAAATATTTGTTTTACAATTATACAGCATTGCTGCCGTCCTAAAAATAGATGCCGTATCTACAAAAAGTCGGATTTTGAAGTTTTTGTATCAATAGGTTCGTAGCAAGCTAAATTAACTTCTTACCAAGTAGAAATGCCGTATATGTTTCCGAAATATTAAAAATCCAACATAATTAGCCGCATCTGAATACTTTTATCGACTAAGGAAATAACTTTAAACCTCATTTTTACCGCTTGACGCACTCAGTAGATACGGCATCTGTTTTTAGGACGGCAGATTGCTAGTGAGACATTATTAATATTACTATTAATAATGTTAATAAAATTATTATTAATATTATTCCCTACTGACAAAAAACAAGGTGTTCTAGTGGATTCTTCACCAAGAAATACAAAAAATAATACCCATATTAATAGAATTTAAGTTAAATTAAAAGGAAAACGTATTTAACAAACTATGGGGTCTATTCTGTAACAATTCCTTTATATTTAACGGCCTTTAAAAATATTTTCGTCTTTACTTCTGTCATTATTTAAACGGATCTTTAAAATACATTAAAGAACTATCTTAAAGAAATCTGTTTAAGTAATGACAGAAGTAAATTAACGAATACGAAAATATTTTAAAGGCCACCAATATTTTTAAAGGCCGTTAAATATAAAGGAATTGTTACAGAATAGACCCCATTATTTAGTTTTTATGATTTTAAATTCAATTATGTCACAAACCTTTCATTGTTGCATCGATAATTGCATCGGCCCTTAAAGCCATAAAATAGTAATGAATATTTTTGTCTTGTGAATACACCTCGGCCCTTTTATCAAATTCATCACTATTAAGCACTTCTCCGACATATTCCAAAATAAATTCGCCACTAAAAAAAAGAAGAAAAAATACATTTGATATTTATTAAGGAGTCATTTTAACACTTACAAAGGGATATTTGCTGCAGCCCTTAGTCCTAAACCTTTCTTATCGGTATTAAAAACTTCAACAGGGGCAAAAAAGTTCTTTTGGAATCTTTTATTTGTACATCTATCACCTACTGTACATAGATTGCCACTAAAAAAAATCGATTAAAAATTGCATTAATTGAACAAAGTTTAATGAGCAGTTGACATTCAACCCTAAGAAATTATGAAAAAATATGTTACATACCATTCTATCAACAGAAGTCGATTAAGACAATCTTCCCCGCAACCATAATAATCATTATTGTCTAATTCTTCTTGCGTTAAAAAGCAGTCACACGCCATCTTTTTTGCTTCTTTGCAAACCATTCTATCAGTTTTGTATAAATTTTCTTTCAGATGAACAAACTGTTTAAGTCTAGCTTCCACAACTGGATCTTTAGCTCTTTCTTTAGAATTGCATTCATTTTTAAAAGGAACAATAACGTGACTATCGGACTTAATAGGCGTATGGAGTGGGGATTCGGAATTACCTATTCCCGATTTAGATTTACGATCTCTGCTACTGACTTTCGGCGAAGCAGTGGGAGTGCTTTTGTCTGACTCGGTAAGAAAAGAATTACTATCTGAAGCATCGCCGTCATTAAGCGAGGTTTCTGATTTTGATTTAACTAAACCCCAGCCTGATGTCTTTTTATTCATTACACTAATTGATTTTATTCTGGATGATCTCCGTATATCTTCTCCTTCGATCTCTACTTTAGCAAGACACTGGAGTGTTTCTTCAAATTTTGTAAGTTTCTTGTCAGATTTTTTCTCTAATTTGTCTGGTTCTTTTAAATGAGATTTCTCTTTACATTTTTTCGTGGATTTTTCATTTATATTCTTCTTGGTCTTGAATTCGATTGGTTTCTTCTCTTTGTTGATTTTAAAAGTTGGGGGTTTAGTTATTTTGGTGGATTTTTTCTTACTTGATTTGTCAACTTTTTTATCTGTTTTTTGAACTTTTGATGTAGTTGATTTCGTTTTCTTTGTTGATGGTTGTTTAGTAACTTCTTTTTTAACATTTTTGTCTTTTTTTATTGGTGATTTTTTGGATGAAATATCTATGTTTACTAATTCTACATTTTCATTATCTGCTAATTCAAGCATAACTTTCTCATATATAGTTTCTTTTGTATTAATTATTCCATCATTAGGTTTTTTGTCCAGATTTTCATCTACTAAATTCATTTCTGCTACTTTGCTTTCTAAATTTTCATATATTTCTTCCTTCTCTTCTTTAGATAATGATGAAAAGTTAAACTGTATATCCTTGTTATTTTCACTAGATTTACATTCTGCTTCTTCTTCTTCTTTAATTGCACTATAGTCTGTAACTTCGTCAGTGTGAACGGTTGTCTCATATTCACATTCCATTTCGTCTAATTCTTCTTGTAATGGCGTACTTTCTTCTATATTCTCAGATGAATGTATTATGTTGGTTTCATCAATTTTTTCTTCAACTGGCGAGTTTTTTAAGCTATCTAAAATGCTTATGTCTTCTTGAACAAATATTTGTTCTTCAACAATTTGATTTTCATCTAATTGTTCGACAACAGGCATACAATCCATATCTTGACTCTCATCATTAACACTGTGTATTTCTTCAATTTTAGCAACGACTATCTGTTCTTCATCACTCTTAGACCGACTGTCTTCTGAAATATTTTCTGCAATTTGAACTACCTCAGAAAATTCTATATTTTCTTCTGAAACTCCTTCAGTAACAATTTCCTCTGATAGGGTTGCAGTTTCTTCATCAACAATTTCTCTTGGAACATCCTCGTTGTCTTGCTCACGCATGTTGCTTTCTTCAAACTTTTCTGTTGGCTGTACTTCGTCTACAATCATATCATCTGCAAAAGGAATTGATGCATTTTCTTCAATGATTACTTGTTCTGGTTCAGTATGAACGCTGTCCCCACTCATCGAGACTGAATTATCATCTTTTGTTGCTTCAAAATTTACATCTTCAGAGCGGCTGTCGTCTTGAACAATTTTAAAATCGTCTGTAAAAAAATAGGTATAAATAGTATAAAAATTTATAAAAATAAAGATTTTTCTAAGTTGTCCAAAATAGGCTTTTATGCTTTAAAATCGGAACTGTAATTGTATAATTTTATTTACAAATAAGATGGTTTAGAGATCATTCGAAGCCAGTTTCTGGACAAAAATTTAAACAAACTGTAAATTAGATCGACTGAAAGTATTTTTTTGATTAAACGTGTATAATTCATGTGATTTTATGAAACATTGTATTTTTCCAGTTTCTTCTTTAATTATAACAGGAATAAAAAAGATTAATCGAGAAAAGACAAAAATTATAAGCCCGTGACTGATTTAAGTAACAATTAATGGAAAACAGATAACGTTATGCAGAGTCCCTACGATTTCATAGGGACAGTATTGTTATTTCTTAAACGGTAACAGATAGTTGGTTAAATTAGACAAAAGTAGCGCAGTGTAGTGTTGCGCATTAAAATGATGCCAAGATACCTTTGATATCTACAGACAGATTCAAAATATCGGACAAAAAATTAATGAAAAGTATACTGAAACACAAAGTATTTTACCCAAGAACAAGTGTACTAAACTACTATACTAAACTGCTATACTTAACTATTATACTAAACAAAGTATCTTAAGGCGCATTTACACGTATAGCTAAAAAATAGGGAGTCAAGGGGGGGGGGGGGTTGAAATATTTAAAAAATCCTAACACAAAAACGAAAAATAATATCAACTTTTTGCGAAAATCAAGCTCTATAAGGGGACAAAGCCAATTCATTTTGAAAAAAAATATGATTAAAAATGGGGGGCTTAAAATATAAAAAAATATCCTAACTCAAAAACGAAAAATGATATCAACTTAAGGGGAACAAGCCCGTTGATTTTGAAAAAAAAAAAAGATAAAAAATGGGGGCTTTAAGGGTGGTAGAAATAAAAAAAATCCTAAATCAAAAACGAAAAGCGATATCAACAGGAAAGTTTTAGTAAAAATCAAGCTCTATAAGGAGATGAAGATTTTGATAAAAAAAAAAAAAATAAATGAAAATGGGGGAGTTAAAGGGGCATCGAAATATTTAAAAAAATCCTAACTGAAAAACCAACAATAATATCAACTTTAAATTTTTGGCAAAAATCAAGCTCTATAAGGGGACAAATCCTATTGATATAAAAAATCTGAATAAAATGGGGATCATGAAATAAAAAAAAATAGAAATCAAAAATCAAAAAAGATAAACTGTAAAGTTTTGTTTTTAGTTTCAAGCACTCCGAATCCTATTTTCATGATCTCTTCAATTTGCTTATAAGCCGAATCCCAGGCTTGTTTATTTTTAAAAATGGCAATCCCTTGTATTCCGAAGGCATGACCTATCTCGATATTCTTTTACAAATTTTAATGTTGTCGCTTCACTCCAACAAGACATTTTTAATACACGTCACAACTTAAAACAAAAGTTCTCCCTGCAGCAAATGAAATGACTAAACTGACCTGTGCTGGAAAACAGAGGCAGAGGAGACAACTTGCTCAAGTAAATAGAATTTTTCCTATATTACATTCTTAATAAAGTACTAAGGGGTCTATTCTGTAACAATTCCTTTATATTTTAACGGCCGTTAAAATATTGGCGGACTTTAAAAATATTTTCGTATTCGCTAATTTACTTCTGTCATTATTTAAAAGGATTTCTTTAAAATAGTCCTCTAATGTATTTTAAAGGAATCCGTTTAAATAATGACAGAAGTAATTTAGTAAATTCAAAAATATTTTTAAAGGCCTCCAATATTTTAACGGCCTTTAAAATATAAAGGAATTGTTAAAGAAAAGACCCTTAAGTCAGGTTTTTTACACAATACAAGTAACTGAATTTAGCTGCTCGATTTAACTATTTCGACACGTGTGAATTTGCCTTTAATAATAATATTTTGGCAAAATAAATTAGGCAATAATATCTAAAATATGCATATTTTTTAAAGTTTTCATTTTTTCCAGTTTCCGAGAAAAAAATCAAAGGGCTTTAAATTTTGAAATATCATGATGAAAATAAATATATTCCTCAACAGCACTATTCTTAATATAATCCATGAATTTAAGCTTTTAATGTCTTAATGTTTTTTTAAAATTAGCCAAAATTAGTGGCTAAAAAGCCTCGTTAAGTGCTATCTTCTGGTGTAAACTGGTGTAAATCATTTCAGGAAACGAATGATGACTGAGAGTGTACGATACGATAGTTACATTCGCGTTACAACAGAAGGCAGCACTTAACTAATTTTACATTAAGAGCTCAAATTTCGAGATTATATTAAGAATAGTGCTGTTGAGGGAATGCATTTATTTTCATTATGATATTTCAAAATTTATAGCCCTTTGATTTTTTTTCTCGGAAACTGAAAGGAATTAAAGCTTTAAAAATTATGCATATTCTGCAGAGTTGGGTCGGATACAGGAAAAAAGTATCCAAGTACCGGATACGGATACTTACAATGTATCCGGATACTTTTTAGGATACTTTCACCTAAAAAGTACTCGGATACAAGTATCCGGATACTTTTTTCGGATACATTAAAGGATACTTTTACGGATACTTTTAAAGTGAGTTAAAATAATGTTTTCATACCAATAGTTATAATTATGCTATAAGATTGTTTATAAATAACAATAAACAATACTAGGCATAAATAAATTATCGAAAATGGAAAGCGATATAATAGAAACAGGAAAAAACTACTCAATAAATTTTTTATTATTGTTATTATGTGAATATAAAACATTAAAACAAAATGGACAATAAAACATAAAGGTGCGTGTAAATAAAACGAGTCGCGCCTGAACCGTGCCAAAAACCTGCCAGTGTCGTGTCCATATAAATCTATATTCTTGTCAGTGTCAGATAAATTCGACAATCCATTTTTTGTGGATCCTCCGACGAGCAGTACTTGGTAGAGTCGAAAGGAGGAGGCGTGAGAGAATGCTGATATTTCGTTCTGGCATAGGCAAAGCAGGCTCGTATATTTGATTTTGTCAGGTGATGTTGATGACGACATAAATAACACATGATCAGTAATATTATAAGCAACAACATCACACATGTATTTTTTCGACTACATTTTAAGAACTAATAATGTAGGTAGACATTTTACAAAACAAAAAATTCAAGGTACCTACACCTACTTACCTTTGCGTATAGTTAGGCACTAAAACTGATACAGAAAGTTTAGTTATATTGCACTATATAAAAACACAGGAACAACCGTCTCTTGTCTTTGCTAACTGAAACATAACTGGGCTAATGGAACCTCCACAAGTTCGTGACGCTAACACCGGACAAGAGTTTGCAGGATTTTTCCTGTAAAAACGTGCCGCAAGATGCTGAATCCCGACCGTCTGTATACTGGGTGAATCGTCGAATTTATCCTTGGCAATGAGAATTTTTTTTGTATTATTTTAAATTTTACAGAGTGCATCAAACAAAACTACAAATCATAATAAAATAATTATTTTACTATTTTTTATTTAAGTAGGTACCTATTGCAACTGTGTCTTAAATATTGTAATATTGAAAAAATACGTATTTTATTTCCAATTTTACAGGGTAGCTAAAAGTATTTTGATTATATATTTTAATAGAGATAATATGGATTGGATCAGTTACGATTGTGGTAAATAATTTAAAAGTATCCGAATGCCGAAAAAAGTATCCGGTATCCGGATACTTACAAATTTGGTCACGGATACGGATAACGGATACAAAATTTGAAAAGTATCCGGATACAGCTTTCGGATACACATAAAGTATCCGGATACTGTATCCGGATACAGAAGTATCCAGATACTACCCAACTCTGATATTCTGGATATTATTGCCTAATTTATAGCCAAAATTTAAATTAAAAAAAAAAAAAAAATACTTTTTGAGATATCCTTGTCCGAAAATTATAAGGGGGTGCTGTAATCACCTTAAGAAGATAGGATTGGAAGGATCGTTATAGGCATTGACATATTTCCTTGCTGCATTAGCGAAAGAAGGGAGTACAATAGATCTGTTAGGTCGCAATGTATTAACACCCCATTCCCAACATAACATACCTCTAAAGTTTCCAAGGAAAAAATAATTGAAGACCTTGGCGTAATAAGGATACATGCCACATTGTAAGGTTTGAGAAAATTGAGTTTTAAATCTGTCAAATGCAAATAAAAACAATTATTTAAATATCAATATTATGAAAGAGAGGTAAAATAATTTGTGTATGGCTAGTATCCTTATTAATAGATGTTTTAAGCTAAAACGGTCACTTCACGACAAATTGTGGCTTGCATCCTTTTTACACCAAGGGTTTTAATTACAAAAGTTATTTGTTTTTTTATTATTATAACTCCGTAGGATGTATTTTTATATAACGTCTATGCAAAAATAACATTAAACTTTTATAAATTTTGACCTAACAATACATATCATCTTTTGCAGTGAGATGAGGGACTATAAAGTGGCTTCAAGAAAAATCTAGAAGGACGACCGCTAGATGGCGCAACTGAATACCACATAGTAAAATGCTTATTTTATATAAAATTACTAAGTCAAGGTTTTCTAAAAATGTTAACATTTCCAGAAAATACCGCATATTTTTGTCTAAGATACTGTTCATTTCTCTTGACATATAAGAGGAAGGGGGGGAGTGGAAGAAAAGTAGTTGTTTAACTACATTTTGTAAACTTTTAAAAAACGCTCCTACAATGTACTACTCGATCCAATCTAATAACATGTTACTTATTACATTGATGGCGCTGTTTATTTTTAGAAATTTAGTTTTGAAGATGTTTTCACTACGGTTAAAAGAGGAGACCAAATTATCAACAAATCAGCAAAATCGGGTACCGATATCTGTTTTCTTTCTTAAGAAATGTGTAAATGTTATGAAATTTTCATTAAATATCGATTACTCTGTACAGAATTTAACAATTTTGGAATTTCCTAGGCCTATCCATAATTATTTAAAATGTTTTAATATTCCTGTTACAGGTGGAAAGGTCTTAAGGAAATTTAAACATAAAACATATAAAAAGTCACTGAAACTAGTGGTGGCCTAGATGTTAAAATCATTGACAATCATTTTGTAACGAGTAGCTTGAACGGCATTCTCAATAATTTCTGCTTTTTCATATTCTCTCCACTAAGTTTCCTGGATTAGTGGGCCTAGTTGCTAAACAAGGTATTTTATAATATTAATTTCCAATTAGGTCCTTACTATGAAGATTAGAGAGAAGGAGGCGAAACGGCAATGGTCAAATTTCAAATGTCCGTCCTTTTTATAAAGTTCGCGAAATTGACTGTAGTTGGCATGTCGAATAACAGCGGTGTCAATTTTCTATGTAAGTCAATGTAAAATGAAGTGATTTAAAAAAAAAAATGGTGAAAAGAATCAAAATAATGTGAAAAAAGTACCTGAGTACAAGTAACATGAGTGACAAAAAACATCAAAGCAAGATTTACGTCGTTCCTGATTGTAAACGGGATACAAATCAAATGTAAAACTAAAGAAAACACAAGGATAAATCATTTCAATGTCTTTTTAAAGCTTCTAATGTAAGTAAAATAATGTATTTATGTCTAAGTATAATATTTATTGTAAACTAGTCACAATATATATCTTACGGAGTGTAGTTTATTTTATTACAAGTTACTATAATATAAAATTTTAGTCATACAAACAACAATAATTATACATTAAATTTAACTTACTAGAAAAGAAAATTTATTTTTTATAGAGTTTTAATGTTAGATAAAGAGTTGCTACTGTTATTTTTTTGTTGAACCCCAATTGTGTTATTGTAAATGTTTTTCATAGGACACTAAACGCTTAGAACAGAAGCTATGTATTTTGAACACCATAAGCAGTACCAGCGCCCATGCGATTAATTATAGAAGCTGAGTTAGCGTTCGTTTATTGGGACCGTATTTTGAAAATGCCGATTCGCCTCCTTATCTCTAGTCTTCATAGTCTTTACAAAAACATACCACATATTCCTTAGATCAAAATAAGAGGAGTTACTTAAACTTATCTCAGTTTAAGTGCTAGACGGTCCCGATATTACAATTTTTAAATGATTTTTCTATTATAAATTTGGAAGGTCTTATGCGATTTTGCTTAAATTTTGTTAATTGATAGAGTTAAGTGACAAAAAAAACATTATCAAAATTTTGACTAATATTAATCCATAGGAAACATTTGTTGTTTGTATTCATGTTTCAGTAAATACATTTTTTTGTGAAACCTACACTCCAAAGTATTAAAATACAAATTTCCTCAAAACTATGAGAGTAATTGAGTCTTATCAAGAGTGCTTTGTTTTATAGTAATTTCATACTCAAAATGTGTAATTATTGAAAAATTAAAGTTCAAGAGTATTTATTTTCAGGAGGAACATTCGTTCATTATTGTGACACATGGCTTTGAGTTATTATTATCTTTAATTTACTTGTTTTATTTGTTGACTTCAAAGAGGTACATTACAAAGTGGAAGATCAAATTAAATAAAACCCACTAGCCAGTTGGAACTTAGTATTGATACTAATAAATCATATTTATACTGTTCAAGTTTAAAGGATTGCACTTCATGTGCTTATTATTTTTACTTTCTTAGTGAATTGAACTATTGGCCTACCTAGATGTCAGGCGTAATTGAGATAAAGGGTTAAACTACATATATGACAGAAAATGAAAATGAAGAAAATCCAATAGTATATTTTGTTTAAATGAACAATAGAAAAGGTATGTGTATATCAAAATACAAATCTAATGTATGAAGAGAAGAATAATGAGGGATGTACAAGTTTATTGCATATTAAATAGTAAAAACCAGAATCAATACTTGACTGGATGAATTTTGGAGAAACACAATAGGTAACGGACATCACCTGAAAAAGAAGTATGGATGTATTGATAAAAGAAATAATAAATTGTTGCAAAATATCCTAGAAATATGGGACAGATAGGTTTTGAGGAAAATTTTTGAATATAGAAAGCTAGAAAGTAGAAGAAAACATTAATTTATAAACATGTTTGAAATAAATTTGATACTCTTGTTTAAATCAAAAATATTGTATGTATAAAATTCTACACTACTTATATCGGAAATGATATTTAAATGTTTCCACAAAAAATATAAATTTCTTAACTAAGAACACAACTACGTCATAACCATTATTTTAAAAACATATCTATAATAACTATCAATAAAGAGAAGGTGAGAACTAAGTAGATAAGTTGTAGAGTATAAAAAATGAATTACCTACTTCACAAAGTGATGATGCAGTTGTGTTCATCTTATTGTAATCAGACCCTAACATATAAGGTATGAAGGAAATACCAAAATAATAATGTTTAAGAAAGAAAGTAAAATACTAAAAAAAGATTAGAAGCAGTAAATCTACAGATAAAAAGAAATAAAAAGTCATTCAAATCAAGAATTTACTAGACTGGAAATATTAATCTATATAATATAAAAATGTCTAATTACCTTTGATAGTTGAACTATTGTCAGATTCTTCAATATGTTGAGGTGATTTAATCATTTCTGTAATAAAATAATAATTTTACAATTAATCATACAAGACGTTTAGTCACAATTTTAAAAGTTGTTTTCAATTTTTCAATCATTTATAATAGATTAGAAAATTGAATTATTTTTGTTGGTCCAAACTAATTTTTTTGTTAAAAAGTTAATTACAACTTAAGTTTAAACTTTTGCATTATTTATCTATCTTGAACTATTGAGGTTGTTTATCTAGTCATTAAGATCTTGTAAACTTCAGTCCTACCTTTTGTCTTATCTAAGAGAATTTCTTCATCATCCAAACCCTCTGATAGCATTAATTCCATTTGTTTGTTTTCAGATAAATCACTAATATCCTCGGTTTCATTTAAATTATATTGCTTTTCAACATTTGTATTTATAATTGGTTTTATATCATTTATCATGGAACTTGTAGGCGAATTTTCAATCTGTTCGTCATCCTCATCATTCCAATCTTGTAAAATTTCAAGTAATGCTTTATTATCTTTATCAAGAGCATCTAGGGAAGTCTTAGGCGATGAAGGTAGAGTTTTAGTATTTGATGTAATGCACTTATTGTAGGATATTTGAATTTTATTTGTGAATTCATTTTTTTCTTGTCCAACTGGTTTTTCAGATATGTTTGTTGCTTTTGCTGGTTTTGGAGATCTACCGGAACGGCTCAATTTAGGGATGTCGATGTTTACAATGCTTTGCCTTCTTGTTGACCTAGTTGATACAGTTCCTACTACAAGGTTTACTGGATTTTTCTTTTTCTTAGGAGGCATTGTAATGACTTTTTTGGATCTAAATTACAGAATTTTAGAATTGTTCCAAGTCTATGGATCTTCAAATGGAAGTAATAAATACCACCTACAATTAAGATATACACACACACGTTCCCTGGATTATATTTATTTCTTGAAATAAGGAATGATATATTCTGAAAATTTTACCTTACACATCCTATCTAAAATTAATTAAATAGTATAAATGAGACATTTGAATTGACGTTTTCCAAACCAAATTGGCAAAATGTGCAAAATTCTGTTATGATAAGAAAAAATCATTGACAACATTGGACATTCGACATTTGGACATCGATGATCGATGACAGACGACATATGAATAGATAAATGCTCAAAAGGCAACACTGTAATGAAAATATTACAAAAATATAGGAATAAAAACAGAAAATTAGATAATTTTACTCTTGTATTTTTGTTACGTGCAGAAGTACACTTAGAGATTCCGACGACCTATAAAAAATGCTGGCTGTGGGCTTCGTGAGGGTCAATGATATTACAGTCGTATAGATTGTTTAAAGCGAGTCGCATTTCGAACGGTCCTATTGCCTCACAAGTGCTCATTAAACATAATTAATTGGTTTAGTTAGATAAAGACGACCATGATTTAGCAAAAATTATCTACATTTTTACTTCAAGATATGCGTTTATGTTTATTTTGAAAAACACGGATGATCAATCTATATAACTATTTCTATTATTGATCCTGTCATACCGGCCAGGCTCACAGGGTTGCCATATCCATACCCAACAAGCAACCATTTGTAGACTAAAGTGCCCTCTATGTGTTATAAATTACAGACTACAAATTATAAATAGAAATCTACATTCAGATTTATTGACTGTTTTGATAATATGACGGTAGAGGACAGCACAATAATCTCCTGCATCAGTATAGAACCGCTCATAAAGAATACCTGGTTGATAGAATAATTCGTTAGCTTTGCGCAGTGGCGATATCGTAACCAATGAGGTTTATCCGAGGTGCGATTATTGCTAGTTGAAAACTTTAACCAATACCCCGCCAAGTGCACGTGAAATACCGTGCGCTACGGCAATTTTTGCAAACCTCTAAGGAGGTTGATAAATAAATCAAAACATAAAATTTTATTAATTAAAGACTATTAAAGAGCACATCTGTTGTGAGAAGTTTCATTTTTCAAATGTGTGTGGTGAACGAGGCAGAAGCAGAGTGAAAAATAAAATCACTTTTACACAAGTGACGTACAGTATTTCTCCTACGACCACAATAATTTCATAAAAAAATGTAAAATTAGGAGTAAAGTTCCATGAATATTTGGCTGGCTTTAGATTTTTTAACACGCTTTTATTAGCTTCACCTGTATGTTTGTAACTCTCCTTTGGACTAAAAGCAAGTGGCTTATTACTGTCAGTATATCCCACTACTACTAAAACTAAAGAAAACAAGAAGAAATCAATTCAATGTCTTTTTAAATCTTCTAATGTAAATAAAATAATGTATTCATGTCTAAATATATTTAATGTAAACTAGTCATAATATTTATCGTAAGAAGTGTAGTTTATTTTATTACAAGTTTCTATAATATAAAATTTTACAGTTATAGATGCTGACTTACAAACAACAATAATTATGTATTAAATTTAACTTAATAGAAGAGAACATTTATTTTTTATAGAGTTTTAATGTTAGATAAAGAGTTGCTACGGTTATTTTTTTTTTACCCCAATTGTGTCATTGTAAATGTTTTTTATAGGATACTAAACGTTTAGAACAGTGGCAGCATATAATATCGTTTCTCCCGCCGATAAAGCACTTTCTAGAGATGATGCTGTTCTATACTTTTTAGAAGATAATATCAAATATTATGAGACTAGTGGTGTAATCGGCCAAGTTGACACAAGCTGCGTCATCTTCGCCATGTCAGTGTATTATCTTAACATGACGTATTCACATATATATTTTTATTATTTATTACGTATTATGCATTTTGAAGCTTCCGTTTCTTCTTTAGTTATGGGAAGATATACCAGAAAAATGCAGAGAAGATCGTTTTCGACAGAAAGCAGTCTTGAATGCAGTCGTGGAAAATGGCCATAAAATTCGTGAAGTTGCAAGGGCGTTTGAAATACACGAAGCTACGTTGAGACGAAAAACTAAATTAAAAATTTAATGAAAGAAGTCAAATCTGAATCACTTGGTAGAGCCCCAGTGTTTTCACTAGCTCAAGAAAATGAGATTGTGGATCACGTTCTAAATTTGGCAAATTTGTTTTATAGTGTTACTTCCATAGAACCACGAAGTATAGATATAAGGAGTCCGAACGGTATAGGCTTTTTGTAGGATTGATGTACACAAATATTAAACCCAGATCTTAGTTTCCTTTTTCTGCCACTGGCTGCGCAAATATTCAGGACGTACCGATATTCTCGATATTATTGGGTTGAAAGCGCTTGAGAAGTTTCTAAAAATTTTCTAAAATTTACATTTAATTCCACGTTTCAGAATATTTTTAGTCACAGCAGTCAATAGCAACAAGACTAAGCGCGTAAGGATTTAAACGAGTACTTCTTCAAAAGTGGCGCGCCCTACCGGCAAAAAGTCTGTCCCCCAAAATTGATGCCATTCATTCAACATTACGTTCGGACTCCTTATATTTATACTTCGTGCATAGAACTAAGAACTATGGTTTTCAATTATGCAGAAGCAAACAAAATTAAACACAATTTTAAAAAGGACAAATTAATGGGGGGGGGGGGGGGGTCCGGACTGGTTCCAAGGTTTTATAAAAAGAAACATACAAATATCTTTAAGAAAACCCGAATCTACAAGTGTCAATAAAACAGAAGTCGAACGCTCAGGGCCGCCGAGAGCCAGGCCGGGCCCCAGGACAATTCTCTAGATCGGGCCCCGTGACAAAAGAAATCTTCTAACAAAAACTTTTCTTCTTCTCTTCTACTTGAATTGAATTTTCTAAAAAAAAGGTCCTCAACCAAAAAAAAATTTTTTTCTCCCCTACTTGAATTACTTTTTCTAAAAAAAAGATCCTCAAGCAAAAAACTTTTTCTCTCCTACTTGAATTACACTTTAAAAAAAAGCCTCAAGCGCAAAAACTTTTCCTCTACTTGCATTAAAAACTTCCCCCTCTCGTCTTGTGTCGAATTTCTCATACAGAACAAAAAAAATCCAGTTGTCCGGCACCCCTTATACCGCTGCCGGGCCCCCATTTGAGTCCGGGCCCCGGGAATTAGTCCCGGCTACCCCCCTCTAGTCGGCCCTGCGAACGCTATTTTAAAAACTTACAAGAAGTCCAAGAAAAATATAAGTTTCTACCAGATCGCATTTACAATGTAGATGAAAGCGGTATATCTGCGGTTCCTAAAAAATCATCCAAAAGAATTGGACCTAAAGGCATAAAGCAGTTTGGAATAATTTCTTCTTGGTAACGGGGAAAGAACATTACAGTGATTTGTACGTTTAGTGCAACTGGAAATTACATCCCACCATTATTTGTATTTCCTAGGAAGAGAATGAGCCCACAGCTTCAAAAGAATAGGCCTAGCGGTGCTATTTACACCTGTACAAATAATGGATGGATCTGTGTTTTCTTTATGGCTGAAATATTTTCAAAAAAAAGTATTGTCAAACCCCGATAATCCGGTATTACTTATACTAGATAATCACTCAAATCATATTTCACTTGAAATATATAAATATTGCAGAGAAAATGGGATTGTCATGATTATCATTCCCCCACATATTTTGATTTTCTTTTCATTCCCCCCTATACATCTTACAAACTACAACCGCTTGACGTAACATTTTTGGCTGCATTGAAAAATGCATACAGCCGCCATTGTAATTCATTTTTAAAATCCAAAATCATTAATTCCGAAGATGAAGATAAGATATAACTCCTTACGATGTTGCCGAAATTTTTAAGTTAGCCTACGACCAAGTTGCAAATATTGAAAAGGGAATTTCCGGATTTAAGGCTTGGGGTATTTTCCCGCTAAACTGTGATACGTTCACAGAGGATGACTTTGCCCCTGCTGATAATTTGAACAGTTCTGATTTGTACATTAAATCTCTAAGATCACCTGTAGATCAGGAAACTTCACCGCGAATGGCAACTTAATCTTCCAGAAGAGAACTAGAATCGCCTCAGCCATCGTCTAGCAAACAGTCTTCACAAAGCCACAGAACTCCCCCAAAACGAAATTCAGCAAACCTGCATCAACATATATCTATTGATCTTATTTCCCCTATTCCCGTGCCAACTAATAGCCCAATCGGATTAGGTGAAGAACAGGCTTGAGATTCTGAAAAATTCGAAGCAGCAATTTTCCTTCGGAATTCGTTGGAGGGGGTCTGTGGTAGTCTAAATTCAAAAAGTTGGGATTCCAAAGTTGTCGTTACCTCCGCCAGCTTGATTTAAAGGGTTATTTTTTGTATCTTGAATAACTCATTTATTTTCAATTTTACACGGAAAATAGTTTTTACAAAAGTTATTTATAATTAAATTTCCTACAATTCTGCTTTTTTTTTGTACGATCGATTTTTTTCGATTTATACCCGAAAAGAGGGGGTGAATTTTTGGTTATAGAATAACTCGTTTATTTTCAATTTTACGAGAAAAATTGTTATAAACAAAGTTGTTTAAAATTAAATTTCCTACAATTCTGTTTTTTTTGTACGCTCGATTTTTTTGTATTTATCCCTAAGAAGAGTGGGGATAAACTCTTAGAAAAAATCGGAATCATAATTGTACCAAATAACATTTTTGAAAATCAGCAAAAAAAAAACAAACAGAAAAAATAATGGTACAACATCAATAATAAACGTGACAATACAATACAGGTTCACCCCCACTCTTCTCAGGGATAAATACAAAAAAATCGATCGTACAAAAAAAAACAGATTTGTAGGAAATTTAATTTTAAACAACTTTGTTTATAACAATTTTTCTCGTAAAATTGAAAATAAACGAGTTATTCTATAACCAAAAATTCACCCCCTCTTTTCGGGTATAAATCGAAAAAAATCGATCGTACAAAAAAAAAGCAGAATTGTAGGAAATTTAATTTTAAACAACTTTGTTTATAACAATTTTTCTCGTAAAATTGAAAATAAACGAGTTATTCTATAACCAAAAATTCACCCCCTCTTTTCGGGTATAAATCGAAAAAAATCGATCGTACAAAAAAAAAAGCAGAATTGTAGGAAATTTAATTTTAAACAACTTTTTTATAACAATTTTTCTAGTAAAATTGAAAATAAACGAGTTATTCTATAACCAAAAATTCACCCCCTCTTTTCGGGTATAAATCGAAAAAAATCGATCGTACAAAAAAAAAAGCAGAATTGTAGGAAATTTAATTTTAAACAACTTTGTTTATAACAATTTTTCTCGTAAAATTGAAAATAAACGAGTTATTCTATAACCAAAAATTCACCCCCTCTTTTCGGGTATAAATCGAAAAAAATCGATCGTACAAAAAAAAAGCAGAATTGTAGGAAATTTAATTTTAAACAACTTTTTTATAACAATTTTTCTCGTAAAATTGAAAATAAACGAGTTATTCTATAACCAAAAATTCACACCCTCTTTTCGGGTATAAATCGAATAAAATCGATCGTACAAAAAAAAAGCAGAATTGTAGGAAATTTAATTTTAAATAACTTTTGTAAAAACTATTTTCCGTGTAAAATTGAAAATAAATGAGTTATTCAAGATACAAAAAATAACCCTTTAAATCAAGATGGCGGAGGTAACGACAACTTTGGAATCCCAACTTTTTGAATTTAGACTACCAGAGACCCCCTCCAATGAATTCCGAAGGAAAATTGCTGCTTCGAATTTTTCAGAATCTAAAATACTAATCCGATTGGGCTATAAGAAAATTAAAAAAAAAACACATGGTCGACAAAAACATCATTCTGAGATACTTTCAAGTACCCCGTTGAAAGATGTTTTGGAAATGAAAGAGATAAAAAATGTCAAAGATGGAAGAAGCCAAGAATAAGGCAACAAGAAAAATATTTGTGATAGATGCAACAACGAGGAAAAAGAATACTAAAAAAATTATGAAGGACAGCAGTAATGAAGAAATCAATTTTGAAGAAAAAGATCTTTGCGATGACGATGAATTGGACGACATGAGCGACGGAGAAACTAAATCTGACGTATGCATAATATGTGGAGACTTCGGCAAAAAATCGAAACGTGGTTTAGATGTACAAGTTGTGGACATTGGGTTCATAAAGATTGCAGTGGTGCCGAAAGTCCTGAAAATTACATTTGCGATTTTTGTTCCTAATGTATAAATAATTGTAATGTTTTGGTTATCTTAGTATTTTAGTTATTCATCGTTGTATTACACATTTTTTACAATAAATATAAGTAGTTTCTCCTCAAATCACTTATTTTGTAACTTCCACACATGCGTCATCTTAAGCCTTGGTTTCTTTGAACACTCCGTCGCGGTGAGCGGACAGTCTGTCGACCGCTGAGGACAGCAATTTTCGCCTGAGGTGGTTTGTTAAAAAATATAGAAAATGATACTTTCTCTATGTCTGTACGTGCTGTTTATGTTTTATGAATGTAAACGAAAGGTACTAAAATGGATGCAAATAAATTGTTTGCGTTGTTATTATTGTTGGAAGAGGAAGAACAAGAGGAACTGGCAATTGCAACCGTTAAAGTTTCCAATAAGCCAGTAGATGAGTTGTTTTTGTGTGGCGATACAGAAGGTGCCTTTAATATCACTGTGCAGCGGAGGCTTTTTGGAAATAAAACCAAATTTAGGGAGTATTTTAGACTTTCTACAGATCTTTTTGAATTCGTGTTGAGTTTTATAAAGGACATAATTTCCAAGAAACCTAAAAATAAAGTCATGATGTCATCTGTATGTGTGAATTTGTCACTTATTGTTTTAAAATTAATAACAATATAGTCTCCGCACACGCCGTCGATTCCGCTGCTATCAAACTCAACAGATATCAACCGACTCTTCGCGACAAATCAGCGGCATGACGCCGTCCTGCTCAGCTAAGCGGATTCAAGAAAACCATTCCCATTTAAATACTCTGGTTGGATAAAATCGTCAAAACGCGACGGTTGACGGACTGTCCGCTCACCGCGACGAAGTATTCAAAGAAACCAAGGCTTTAGCTATACTATCATGCGTCATCTTTTCCCCAGGAAGATGACGCAAATGGGTATTTTTTTTTAAAGTTGTGTAAAATATAGTGTATTTTATCGTATTTTGATACAAACCTAACAAATGGTTGCACAAAGGTTCTTGTTAAGGACCCTTGACATTCAAAGTACCTGAATTTATTTTTGCACACAAATAAAGGGTAACCTGCTTAGGTGCGTCATCTTCTACGGTTCTCCGCTAGTAAAATATTTAAGACTTTATATCTGCTAATAATACTTTTTAGGTTTAAATATTCTTGGGAAGGGGTAATTACCCCCATTACCTACCCCCCGCATATGCGCTCCTGAAAACCAATGATTTAATTATTAATGCTAAAAAAACTTTTGCCATATACTTGACGCGGAAGTTACAGGTACGCGGTTTCTTATATTTTACACCGTATTTAGTAAAAATTTTAGATTCAAATAAATGGGTTGATAAACTCTAAATTGATTTTTAAAATTTTGTGGGTTTTTTAAGTGGGTCGTAGAAAAAATATACTCTATTACTCCGCCTATGGGTGTTCAAATTTTCTCTTCGTGCGATATGGCCATTAGTTTCACAATTTACTAATGAAATTTTAAACTAACCAATAATAATAATAAAAAAAAATTGTTCTGGGGATTTTAAGTGTATTTAAATTTCGTTATCCTCCACTTAAAACGGAACATATACTATCCTTGGGAATGTTCTAAACTGCGCCTCTCTGTTAAAAATAACTGCATTAAACAAAGTTACAAAATCAATCAATGATACGAAAACACAAACCCGAAACCATACCGCAGCATGCGTTAATGAACCCACTAAAAATATTAACAAATAAAAGAAAGAGTAAGGAAGTCGTTCCCGATACAAAAGAAGCCTCTTCCAGCCCGTGACGTTGAAACATATTTGTTTCATTTTGTAAACAAACACAAAATATGAAATAAAAAAACAATTTGACAACCGGACGCTCCCGAACTATTAATCTACTAAATTTAACTCGAGTCATCGGGACGCGCTGAGCTTCGCGCCGTTCGCTTTTAGCATCATACACCATGCTCTTAAAATACACATTAGTTCATTATTTTAACCTCGCCAGTGAAACACTTTCTTTCTTTTAAATTAAATGCTCCCGTAAGGTAAGACAACTACAAAATTATCATATAAAACGAAAACGTCTGTAGTAAATATCTTTATTAAATTCGTAGAAACGATTTAATGATTTATTTATAGAATTTTGACACGTGTTGTTTAAATAGAATAATTGGATCTTTTTATTTCAGACCAATATGGGTGTTTTTACTTCCCATACCCAAGGAACATGATTAACGCAAAATATGAGTTTCAAAGAAAGACCCCCCGACAACACTCCACAAAATATTGGCTGTGATCCAAACACAAACTCTTCTAAGCGGAATAGTGGTCTATTTGCCTTCTTGAAATGGTTCAAGCCTTCGACATCGCGAGAATCCATAGATACGGATCTACAAATATCTCACTCAAGTAGCTGTGATAGCTTGAATTCCACCCATAGTGTCGGTACGGTGGCGTCTTTTTCTTTTATTGCTCCCGGTGATTATAAAAATTGCGTGTCTGAAAAGTGCATTGCCCTTGGTCCCGAAACGGATACCTACAAAGCAAGACTGAAACAACGCGACAAAATCAGGGAAAAGGATAAAAATCTGACTCTAAGAAAAAAATACAACTTATTTTTCAACAGAGATTCTTTACTGAAACCAAAAAATAAACCAGTAGAAGTCGAAAATTCGAAAAGTTTACCCCTAATGACGCGAGGTGTGATGGAACCTCAAGAAGAACCCAAAGTGCATCGAAGGACCAATAGTGAAAGTTCAAAAGTTCGGAAAGCTGGAGCTTACGTACACGTTAAAGGTAAGCGGAAAGCACCTCAACCCCCTACACTCAACTCTCAAGACGACCCAACAAACAGCTTAAGAAGAAGAAAACGTCTAGCACCCCCACCCCCTAATAACGAAGATAAACCAATGACAACAATACAAGAAATTAAAATTGATAAAGTGTTCGAAGATACCGGTATTATTTTTAATGATTCCTTAAAATTAGATCACGGCATATTGAAACCCGCCAAAGAAACAGACATACCTACCACGAATCAAAATAGCACAACTTCCCCCTCCTCCACAAGGTCGAGCGTTATTGATGCTCCAGTTTCTCCTAGAGCATGGTATAAAAGAAATCTGACTGACAAAACGAAAAAAGATAAAGTCGAAAATAAATACGAACCAATCGAAGTTCCGGTCTCCAGAAATTCCTCATTAGATTTAACCTTAGACGATGTAAAAATAGAAAAGAAAAAGGAAGAAAAAAGAAAATCTGGCATGACTTTCCTAACAAACATTAGTGAACTAGACAGAGAAGCGTATGAAATAGTAAAAAATAAAGATCAAGATCCTAGTAAAAAACCAGCAGACTTCAACGAAATGCCTGAATTTATGCGACCCAAAAACACCAATCCAGAAGAATATGTTTCACCTAAAAGGCGATCAGCGAGAGATCTAATAGCGAAATTCAACGCCATTACCAACGTAAAAAAAGTTAGCGTTTTCGGGGGATCACACAAAGATAAACTTTTAGAAAAACAAATTAGCCTTGATGAAACCAGAAGAAGGCAGGAATCCATATTGGAAAATCACAAAAAAAGATTAGAAGATATCGATAATAAAAAAAATGCGTTACCTTTAATGAAATCAGAAAGTGCTAGTGCTATAAAACCAAAAAAAGACACACCAAAAATGGAGAGAAAGAATTGGTTGTGCCCTAAGTGTAATATAGATAACGATTATTGGAGGATAATATGCCACGTGTGTTCTACCATAAAACCCTATTTTGACGATTTTTCCTCATCGCCAAAACTAGAAAGTAACAATCAAGAAAAAAAAATTACCAAAGAAACTACGCCTCCGAAAAAGACTGATATTAATTTTGAGAGGTCAAAAACCCAAATAGGATTTTCAGCTTTACTAAACTACAATTACAACAACAAACTAAAACAAGGAAATTCCTCAAGCTCAGACGAAAAAGTAGATCAAAACAGCAAACGCGAAGAAAAAGAAAAACTTAAAAAAATGTTAATAGAAATGAAAAATTCACTACCTAAACGACAGTCAAATATTGCTCAAAGAAAAAATAACACATCTAGTATAATATTAGAAAATCCAGACGATTTAGCTGTTCCCAAAAACGAGGTAACTAAAATAGAAGCAAAAGTACATAATAACCAAGAAGCTGAGAAACAAGAAAAAACACAAGAAGAAAAAGTTGCTGAAATTCTAATTGGAACAACGACTACCGTATACGAAAACATTAAAGTCAAAAAAACAGATAACCCGAAACCATTAAAAGTCTCAACATCAGCTCAAACAACAGCAGCTGTAAAGCAACAGCTTCCAGCATCAACGATTGCAAATTTAGTAGCAGACCAAAGGAGCAAAAATAATTTTGAACTAATGCAAGCGAAAGATTTCGAAAATATTTATTCCCAATCTAGTCAATCGGCTGCAAAAATGTACGCCAATTTAGTGAGAAACGATGAACTGTCTTTGTTTTTTAATATACCCAAAGATGTACCGAAGAAAGATGAGAAAACTTCCAGGAATCTAAGCAGGACTGATAGTTTGCAGATCAACAGGTTATTGAAAAAGTTGGAGTTGTCGATTTCGAAAGGAGAATTGACGGAGTCGTCGAATATTGCGAGGGAACTTGCGTTATTGAAAGTGAACTGTTCAGTGGTGAGACATAAAACTTTGGCATCTAGAGAAAAAAACAAGAAAATACAGTAAGTGGTTAATTTTTTAGTATACATTTTGAGCTTCAATTTAAAAATTTTGCCAAGTTGCACGTCGTATTTGCGCACTAGTGTTTAGTGTTTCGTATCGTAGTAGTTTTATAAAAATAAGTATAAATAAAAGAGGTAGTTTTTGCAGGGACGGCTCAAGCGCAGCCCTAAGCACAGCACTGATTTTTATGTGCGTTTTTGTACAATAACTCCTGACCTACTCTTAGTTTTGTTAATATGTTAAGTCCAGGACGGACGAATTGCTCTAGAAATTCAGTTAAAAAATTGTAACTAGCTCGTTAATTAAGAAAGATACAAAGTTCATTTCGCTATAAAAAAAATACGTGTGGCACTCGGGGACTGCTGCGGTAAAGCTATTGCATAGCATTTTTTTATCAACTTATGCAATTATAATTATTTATTTTATTTATGCAGTATTTTTTTTCTTTGATATTAATTCAAGTTTTTTCTTTGATATTAATTCAAGTTACACTTTTTGAGCGTGGTGACCGATAAAAAAATATTTTTTTTTCTTTTATTGAATAAATGAGAAGTTAATATTGTTTAAAATATTTTTATTATCTTACAATACGTGTAGGGAATGTTTATTTTCGTTACGGAATTTCTTGATTCGGTCGCCGCGCTCAAATCCCGCGATAAAAGCTATGCTTAAAAAAATTAAAAATTCATAGTTCTTTTTGATTTTAAGATCGATAAAGCAAGTGTCTTTATGTCAAAAAAATACGTTGGGATCAAAAGGTACCCAACCCCACAACTTTTTTTAAGGGGGTCGTTATAATTTTTTTCTCCATAGAATATTAGGCCTTCAAATCTACAGCACTGGCAAAAAATCAAACAACAAATCGCAACAGCAAAATTTTCACAAAAAAAAAAGGTTTTTTTGAATGTTATTTAACGCCCTGTAACTTTGTTAGGAGCCAGTTTTTGATATAGGTAAATATAGCCAAATCCACTTATTTTTTTGGTAATCTATCTAAGGAAGAATTTATGACATACCTTTTTGAAACACCCTGTAAAATCAGTACGGAATAGAGCTTTCTTTTTTTTTTCATAATAAAAACTAACGGAATGCAATTTTGATTATTTTCGTTTAATCTACATCATTTTGTGAACATTCATGATTTTGTTCAAGTTTTTCTGAGCCGTACTTTTGGAGATCAGTTGGAGGGGGATAGAAATTTTTAAGCGTTTTTCAAAAAGTAACGTAAACGTACGTATTATACATTTTTAAAATCGTGATTAATAATAATAATAAATGGCCTTTATTTGTACATACCAAAAATACAAAAAATATATAGAAATGTACATTTGCCTAGGCGAGATTTAGCCTAAGGCTATTCTTACATCTAACCCTATATATTCTATACATAGTTTAAACAATCAACAAATACCTTTTTTTACAATAAGAAAATTCTAGTAAAACATTTAAAAAGAAAAAAACAATTACCTAAGTGTTTATTTACAAAGAACGAAGGAGATAAAAAAAAATAAACAATTAATTGCACTTAAACACTTTGGGAGACCAAGAGCTGTCGTTTTAATGTATTTTTAAAAACATTTAGAGATTTTGAATTCTTTACAGATGTGTTTAGGCTGTTGTACAGAACAACGGCATTGTACGAAAAACTGCGAATAAAAATTGCAGTAGAATGATGAGGCATGGTTAATGATAAATTATTTCTAATATTAACGTTGTGCATCAATTTTCTGAATATTAGTTAGTCTTTTAAATATGGTGGTATTGAACTACTAATTATATTATATATTAGCGATAGGAACAGATGTATGAATAGGATGTTAACATTTAACCATCCAGTTTGTGAAAAAGCCAATGAAATATGGTCGAACTTGCGAAGGCCATTGACGAACCTACAACACGTATTCTGCATTATTTGCAGTCGATTACGATTGACTGCTGTTAGATAAGGGTAATATATAATAATTCCGTAAAGAATTTTTGAAATTACTAAACTTTGACATAAGTTAGCTTTTATTGATTTATCTCCAAGAATGTATTTATTTGAGTAAAGCAATCGAAGTGCGCCGTAGCACTGTTGAAGAACATAGTTCAAATGTTTATCAAATCTCATAAATTCATCGAAATAAAGCCCCAAATTTTTTGCTAAACATTCGATAGTAATCCTCTACCCAGAAATACATAGGTTAACATTAGATTTTAAAATATCTTTGAATTTATTATTACAAAAAATTATTAGTTTGGACTTTATGGCATTTATGTGCAAATTATGGTTTTTGGAGTATACAGTTGTCATTAAAGTCTTGATTTATTAAGTTCACGGCATTGACATAATCATTTGCGTTAAAATCAGAGAAAAATTGCGTGTCGTCAGCAAAGAATTGGACTGAACAGTTTTTGATGCATGTATATAGATCCGAGGTGTAAATAATAAAAAATAACAGAGGTCCCAACATCGAACCTTGGGGTACGCCGGACTTTATTGGAATTAAGTTAGACTTCTGATCGTCAACAATAACCTTTTGAGAACGATTGTGTAGGCATCTTTTTTATGAATCCTAAAGATTTATCATCAAATCCGTAATATGAGTACTTGGCCGAAAGCAGTTTGTGATTTATAGTGTCGAACGATTTACTAAAGTCTAAAAGAATTACTGCACTCGATTGTTTCTTGTCCATGCTGTTAAGAATATTATCTGATAGATATGCCAGAAAAGTTGTGGTACTGAGACCTTTCTGAAATCCTGATTGATGTAATGGAATTATATGGTATTGGGATAAAAATTCATAAATTTGCGAGTAAGCGGCACGTTTTAAAATTTTGGAAATTATAGTAGACTAATGGGCCGTAGTTCATTGTATGAGCTTGGGTTGGATTTTTTAGGCAGTGAAATTAATTATATGTAGCAGAAACATACCGATAAAAGCATAATTTTAACATATGCATGCTAATGCCGTCATTTCCTCCTGCGTTTGACTTAATACTTTGAACAATATTATATAGTGTCATAGTTCTAAAACAAAAAAAATATTATGTCTATTATTTCTATAAAAGCAAATAGAATAATTAAAACATTTATAGTCACTGTCCTGAAAGACTGATGAGAAAATAGAATTAATATCAAAAGGGTTAAATAAGCCAGGAGAAATGTGTGTTGTTTTGGTCGACTGTATTTTCATTTCTTTAAGAGCTTTATAAAATTTAGAAGACTGTTTATTTCGATATTCTAAATACGCAGCTTTTTCACGCCTTATAATTATTCCAATTTCCAGAATTTTTATGTAGTTTGTAGGTACCCTCGTTAGAGCTTTATAACGTTCTCTGAATATTAATCTAATAGTTGGAGTTAACCAAGGTGATTTGGGTTTGCTTATTCTTGCTGTTCTGAGAGGACAATGACTATTAAACAATGTCATTAATGCATCCGTTTGATAATTCACTTTGCTATCAATATCTTGAAAATATAATATATTAACCCAAGGAATACTGTGTAGATCTTGTGAGAAGGCTAGAAGGTCAAAGTTGTTGTAGTCTCTATAAGTTCTGAATTGTTGGCTTCTGTGAATTGTAATTAATATTTAAATGGCAATATACCGCTCGATGATTTGTGAAGTGATCTACATTTATTGTGCCATGGTTAGTACATATATTTGGTGTATTTAAAAAAATTGGATCAATTAGCGTTTCTGAATGGTTTGTAATATGTGTAGGCTCGTCAATGACCTGGGCAAGTCCAAAAGCAACCATGTATTGACTTAAAGGATTGTTTATATTGAATAAATTTACATCACCTAAGATTAAAATATTATCATAACTAGTAACAATTGTTGAATAGCATCTTTTAAATTTTTATCCGGTGGTCTGTACATAGTACCAACACAAAAATAAATATTGTCTAGTTTAAAAGTGATCTAAAGGTGCTCTAAACAATCATCAAAAATTACAAACTTACTTTGGAATCAAGTCCTTAAATATACCCACCCCTCCGCTATGACGATTCCTGTTCTTTCGAAAGAATGAAAACTCAGGAATGTTGACATCAGAGTCAGGTATACCATCACAAAGCCATGTTTCAGTTACGGCTAGTATGTCAAAATCCTGATCTTTAATAACAACCATCAAGTCAGCAATACTAGTTAAAATTGAACGCGTATTAACTTGTCCGATTTTAAATTTATTTTTAACCATAGTGAATTTTTGTTTGAAGGTGATGAATATAGTTTTTATAAACAAGACTTGCTTTGTCATTGGCGGAGTGGTTGGTATTAAATTTCGTTCTAAATTTGTTATTGTTACTGGTGCAGTTTATGCATTTTCTATGAGTAGAGTTACATTGCTTGGAATCATGGTCATTTGAACACATTCTGCATGTGCATGTTTTTTCAGTATGACCGAAAGACTGACATTTTTTACATTTTATGATTCTAAGGTGATCGTTAACGAAGCATTTATTCCACCCTACGGAAAAAACCCTTTAGCTATAATACATTTGCGTAAATTAGGTGTTGTTTCAAGAATTATATTGGATTTGTTATTAAAATTTAAAACTGGTACAATTTTCATTTCTTTGAGAGTAAAATTATCAATTAGATAATTTAATGTAAAGATTTCGTTCAAAAGATCATCATTAGGTTGTTTGTCGTTTAAATTTACATCTTTTAGTATAAGACGTGGATTAAATCTATTTATTTGTTCCACACTGTATTTCGAACCTAAAGCATTATTAACACAAGATTTTAAATTTTTTAAGGAATCATCATTTTCGCAATTACCTATTATTCCACCTCTAACTTTTTTAATACTGTCGATACGGATATTTTTGTCGCCAGGATGAATGTGTTTCTGAATGTCTTTTAAAACATCATCATTGTTAATTGAGGATCCATGGGATTTTATCACTAAACCGGGTTTATTTGTTGATGTATTTTTAAGTGCACTACTATAGGATTTGTACTCACTCCAGATCCAGAATTATTAGAATTAATTAGCATACCCAGTTTT